ATACCAAATACGCGAATGAAGCCAAAATGATCAATAAATTGATCGTGGGCCCTTAAGATATAGAAGAAGAAGAAGAAGCTTAAAGCCTCAAATATTAATTTCGATTGTGTTAGGGAGTGATCAATTGTTGGAAGTTTTGAAAGTCCTAGTTGAATTTGACTTCCTTGAATCGCTCTAAGTCCTCGCTTCTTCAATTATTTCTCACAATACATGTCCGTTTTGCAACCTTTGAAAACTATTTGCCATCTCCCGTCTCATAGTTCGTTTGTTTTTTTTAATTGGAAGTGATGCTGTGAATAATGTTCATTTTGATAAAGTGATTGACAGGTTTGATATAGTAAACTACATATTCGATTAAGGGATTTACAGGTTTCAAGAAGCGATTGACAGGTTGGTATCTTTGAAGACCAGGAAGGTAAAGTCTTAACCCTCAATACATCATGACGAACATATTTAAGGCAACCGTTTTGTGCAAATAAGCGACAAGTTTTCGTATACCATCTTTAAACATAACCAGAGATATGGAACTTGTTAAGCAAAATTATCGCACAATATTAAGCACATTATTATTTTTAGAATTTTGCTGCTTCATTCAAACAACATATAGTTTCACATCACTCGCTAGTCTTTTTTTCTAATTTCATTTATTTATTTTATCGCATATTTAAAAGTGTTAAAAATGTCAAGTTTGTGCACATAATCTTTTTTTTAACCTCCGGATGGACCAGGTTCTGCTTCATTTAGCGTGTCTGGGTTTTCTCCAGGGTTGTAATACTCGGCATTTCCGTGTATCGGAGAAGGCAACCGACAATTGTGTTATTGTCCCACATTTCCCGCCATCCGTAACATGACCCAAGCCAAAAATTCCAACACGAATGTCTCTAGGCCTCTACCCAAAACATCGGCCAATATCGAATGTCCTCAAACACCAGGCCTTAACCTCGACATACACTCTAATCTCCCCAACAATGAAACATAACACGCTCTATTTCACCCCCTTAGCACGCGGTTCTCAACCCTTAGATGGCTGGATATCGCTGTAGAAATAGTTAGACTAGTACCAAAACACTAGTCTTTCCGTGCGGATGACGTAATTATTTCTTTCGGTGACAAACCTCCATCACCTTTTTTGGTGTAGGAAAAATATTTTTTTTTACCGGGCCTCTTAAAAGTGTTGGTCGACGGGTTTCGATGAAAAAACACAATAGACATTTGAATTTGTCCCCACAATCATGCAAACCAACAGGTCTGCAGAGAGCTTACTACATAGTTACTATCAGAACCAATCATACATGCAAACGAGTGTTATCTCGTCAATAAAAATGTTTATGAGCATGATAATGATACATTTCAAGAAATTAATAAAAAAAGCCAACTCTTAGTTATCGTTTTTTTTAAAGCAAAGTAATAATAAAAATATTACCATTCCGATAGTTTTCTTCCAAAAAAACAACAACTATTTACATTTGCATTGGTATAATTGTAATAAAATTTCGAAAATATAGGAAAAGTAGGTCCTCACACAGTTCTGAGCAGTTTTCGCGGAGTGTTAGTCATATAACATACAATGCCATTAAGAAATCGAGCAATAATGAATATGGGATTGCCGGCATAGAGACAGACAGACAGGCTGACTTCTAGTAGACGACTGAAAGAAAACCTCAATCACTTTCGGCCAAAACTAGACCAAAAATTAACTTTTCTGTTTCGAACGTTACTGAAACTAGGTCGAATGTGATTAAATAGAAACTTTCGGTGCCGAAATCAAAGCCGAAATTCAGTTGGTATCTATCGTAAATGAAGCTGTACTAAATGCCAGCACTTTTTTTTTGACTAAAACAGTCACATCTTTGATTACTATAGCAGTCACTATGAATGAAGGAGTAGCTAACGCAACATTAGGTGCGATTTGGTTAATTGAAATGAAGAAAACGTCCTTAAAAATACAGAAGTTGTGAAAGAATATTTGGTTGCCGCTTTGTTTTCTCTGTATGATTATAAACTCTTATTAGAACCATTCAGAAAATAACGTTGTCTGATAGCACGCATCTGGTCGAAGAATTGATGAACTTGTTGAAAATGTCCGTGATCAATGACTATATAGATATAAGAATATCTGAAAAATGTATCTGGTTGTTGATGAATCCACCGATTAAGCAGATATATTGCTCCTCACCAGTGCGTCTGTGTTCGCAGGTGGGTGGAAAGTCATTAATTGAAGACTTTATTTATTTATTTAGGCATTTTTATATAGCGCTTACCATAAAGCTCTAAGCGCTTTACAATTATTAAAAACATGTAAACTAAGTAAAATAAAAATGAGACACTAGGATAGTTACTACTATACTATAGAAACAATGAAAATGGCTATAAAACGAGGACACTTTGACACGTTTTGGCCTATACTTCAGGATCAACCCGAAACTGAAAATGAGGCAGGGCAAGGAGGGTGCATCACAGGTCATAGGCGGACCTAAACAGATGAGTTTTAAGGGAATTTTTGAAAATGGAAAATAGACTTACTGACGCTACATCAACTACATTATCATTCCCGAGTGTAAATAATTGAAGATGCGTCGTAGGAATTCTTTACAATGAAAAAAACAATCTTAATGAATCTTTTAAAATGTATGTTCACTCTAGTCACTATTTTGCATTTCTACCATTAAAAGTATATTTTCTACTTTGATGTGCACACATTTTAGAAAATAATAAATACAGCTAAACGTTTTTTTTAGGCTATATGTTGTTAGAATGAATAGTTTGGAAGGGCGAGATCCTAGTTGTTTGTTTGATTCATTTTTTGATAAGAGGAAATATAGTGTGGATATTTTGTGGAAAGTGGGAGGTGATTGATAGATAGTTGGGTTGTTTGCTGGTTGTTTTCGATTAATGCAGAATGTATGCTGGAACGAATTTCAAAATATCTTAATATTTCATTTTCGGTTTCGGCTTCGGTTTCGGCCGAAATTCATTTTTAACTTTCGGCCTTTTTTCGGTTTCGGCCGAAAGTCATTTTTAAACTTTCGGCATTTTTTCGGTTTCGGCCGAAAGTCATTTTAAATTTTCGGCCTATTTTCGGCTTCGGCCGAAATCAGAAAACCACTTTCGGTCGGTCTCTTCATGAAACATTCTGTCAACTCCTGTGACGTCACTAGTTTCAAGCTGTATCATCCAAATGATGATCCATTGGGTTATCCAGCAGCGTCAGGAGAGACAATTTGCTGTTTGGAACCAGCTTATAATCCTAGAAGAATAATCCCAGGCCATGTGGATTTTGTCCTGCAAAGTCTTCACCATCGTCACATTGTGACGGACGGATGCCAGCAAATTTTGCCTGTTAATGTAGCGTTTAACAATAACATTTTCAATACCAGTGACAAAAATTATGGAGGAGGACTCCGGTCCTGACTTAAAACAAAATATATTGACATAGTATGTTGTCTGTACAGTATTGTGGGTATTTAGGCGTTGGGACAGACAAAACACAACGTAGACTTGAACGAAATCCAAAAACTCTAACTCCAGGTGTCCAATGATAAAATAGACTATATTTATTAAATAAATTAAAAAAAAATAAAAAAATTCTATATTCTTCACTTTCAGCTGTCTATATTAATCTCTAAAGCTATGAATTTTGTTACGATTTTACCCAAATGTTACGTTTGTATTGTTTAAAAGTGTCTTTTTTATTTATATTGGTCCCCTTTTTCCCTTGACGTAGATTAGTAAGGCCAATAAATAGGGCTATGTCTAGTCTATAATTATATTTCCTAATTAAATTCTCTAAACTAATATCACTCCAGACTCACCCTAATGTTCAAAGACACTCCCTAGCTCTCACTTATATTAATACTGTCACTCTACTAAGAAACACGGGTGGTTCAGCCCACAAATACATATTTAATTCTAAATCAGAATTATTGTCATATGCATTACATATATTACACACATAAAGGATAAAGAGATATACTTCCCAATATTATTAAATACTATGTTCTGACTGACGATCTCGTCCTCTTTATAAAACTGCAGCATTTGAAAACTAACAATATGAACCTAGTTAATTTTTGGATAAACAAACTTTATCACAATGCAATAATTAGTCAGGCTCTACTGACTGACAAACTTTAGATGAAAGAGATAAATGATTTGTGGTTGCCTTTTGTACTGAGTACAGGGACGCCATCCCTGCATTCTCATATGCGTCGCTTGGCGCCCTGAATTCTTATATGCGTCGCTTGGCGCCGTGGGCTTTCATGACTCATATGCGTCGCTTAGGAACTTTGACCAGAATGAGTGCATTGTTTAAGCTGGGCCATGGCCAAGGTTACCAGGCTAATGTCCATGAGTCATTAGTGTAAGGACCAACCTAATTGTGTAATATCACGCGGGGTAGCGATGGAGTGAGAGTGAGCCAGAGGGTCTCACAAAGTTTAGGACCAGCGGTCTTAACAGCTGTTCACGGTTTCGTCTCAACTATTTGTACGTTCTTCTTGTCAACTGTCGTCTCGTGATCTCTAGCAACTATTCCCTATGAACAGCTATTATCTCTCTCTCTCTCTCTCTCTCTCTCTCTACGTCAACTCTATCTTAGCTCTTTTCTCTCTTCCCTGACTGATTTTATCATGAAAATTTCTATCGTATGTACCATACCGTTTCCTTACTTCCATAAGTGGTCCGGGAATGCCATCCATTAACCCATGCCTGCCTGTAATTTTCGGTCAATTATAAATTCCCGTCATGTACCCCGCCCCAGTCATCTGTGACCAGGGCAATATTTGAAACATGTGTAAGTCACTAAGCGATGTTAACTACCAGTAAGTTGAGTGTCAATGGGAACATGTTTTAAATTGACGGAGTTTTGTATTCGGACATCCTGGTTTCGTTTTAGTCAAGGGTCACTTTGAAAATATAGGTCAAGGATTGTATATTTTCGTTTTTTTTAACAATGTCACTCAAAAGTAACTATTCTATATCTTATTTGCCGAATTCATTGTGTTCACTTCTTCAAAAAGTTAAAAGAGAGGGAACCAACTGTTAAAGTAAGAGTTGCTGAAAGGTTAGTATTGTTGCAATGTACTGCCTGAACTTAGTGACCTAACTGTCCTGCGTTGGTGTCATGTTGTCTGACTATGTGCGGTGAACTATTTTAATGAACTTCTATTCTAAATGTTGCCAAAATTGTTTTGTTAGCTAGAGTGGGTGGTCATGTGATGTTGGGTATAACAGTAATGTAGATTTGAGAATAAACTTAGTTGTCACTCACACCACAATTTTGAGTTCATGTCCATTTATTCTATTACATGGTGTCATGTGGTCCAACTCCAACCACCGCAACAGCAAGAATTACATGGAAATGTTGCTGTGCAGTGGGTACGACTTAAGTACATGTAGTCATTTAAAAACATACAAGATTGTCAGTGCACTGAATACTAAAAGTAAAGAGGTGCATGTGATAGGCAATGATGTATGTGATAGGCCAGGATGCGCGTGATAGGCAATGGATCCATGTGATAGGCAATGATGCGTGTGATACTCAATGATGCATGTGATAGGCAATGATTCATGTGATTGTCAGTGATGTAAGTGATAGGCCAGGATGCGCATGATAGGCAATGGATCCATGTGATAGGCAATGATTCATGTGCTGATTACTATGCATGTGTTAGGACAGGATTCATTTGATTGTCAGTGATGCCTGTGATAGGCCATGATTCATGTGATTGTCAGTCATGCATGTGATAGGCCAGAATTCATGCGACAGTCAATGATGTAAGTGATAGGCCAGGATGCGCGTAATAGGCAATGGATCCATGTGATAGGCCAGGATTTACGTTATAGGCAATATGCATATGATAGGCTATAATGCATGTGATAGGCAATGATGCATGTGATAGGCCAGGATGCAGTCCAAGTTTTCAATACGTCACTGTTGACTGACAAAGAATGTTACATAAATAAGTCGTGCAGCACTGTCAAATGTAATTTTTAAAATTCTAAAATCACCTTCATCCAAGAACTAATGTATCAATCGAAAGACATGTTTTTTTTCGAAAAGTAAAATTGACAGAGAAACCTTTGTTAGTTTTTGAAACCGACCTCAAACCCAAAGCAAAGTCACGTGGATTCGAAAGTCTGAAAGACTTGTTGATAAGGGACAGTATCATAGGGGCAATTAAGAGTGACAGCGAAAATACTTGACTTGACCCTCAACAAATTAGAAAACATATTTAGGACAGCTTAGACAATGGCGCGGCAACTAAAACTAATGAGTGAATTACTTGCTGTACATGGTACACGCTGCTAGAAAATTTCCAGTATCATTCCTAGATGACCTAAAAAAAAAAAGAAGGATTTGAGTGCATGGAAAGGCGTCATTAAGAAGGTGGATGATCACACTGCATTAATCAATCAACTCGCTGATTATTGTTTTTATAAAAAGCGGTGGTTTAAGGATAGGTCTTGATCATACATACTTTAACACTACATTAAATGAGGACAATACCAACCACCCACCATTAAAGAAATGGCTAACAGACTTGGTGGCAGCAAGATTTTTACTGTTTTGGACGCTAACTCCGCTTTTTTTTGGCAAAATAACCTAGAAGAAAACTATACTGACCGTAATTCAACACACCTTTTAGATTGGACAAGGTGTGCGACATTCGCTTGGACTCATTTTATCCAAAACATATTTGCTATAAGATTACGCAAGGTTTTAAAAAAAAATTGATAACTGGTAGAAATTTGAAAATAAAACGATGCAGATTTGTAGCCACTTCTGGATACAGCAAGAGAGAAAGGGATCAATTCAACCAGCTACATTTTGTGTATGAGTCAAGGAACAGTAAAATAAAATATCAAATCTCATCTACGTCAGATAGATAAGAGAGGTGGCCAAAAGTCGCCTATTTTACTGATCCACTCTGCGGGCAGTTTTCCGGTTTCATCCCAGGACACCAAAGCAAATTATTACAACTAAAAATAGAATAAAATAAAAATAGTTTCTAAATGAAAAGTAATCTCCGAGAGAGCGGCAAAAGAATGGTAAAAACCTAAATTTGGCATGATCGCCGGAAATCCAAATATTATAGGAACCACTGAACAAGCACATTGAAGATCCGGTGTATGAATTATTACTGTACTACTGCGATTACTGAGTATTATTGAAGTGATATCTAGCTAGTTCATTTGTGAAAAGGAATTACAACAATTATGACGATAATTCCTGCACAACATTGCGTGATATTTTTACAGCAATGTAAATATAAATAAGCTATTTTTGGACTGTCAGATGGAGCTGAAACTCTTCACTACACTGGCCTTTGCGGAGAATTAATAATATAGGACAAATGGAAATAAGACGAGCAAGACGTCGCTGCCAATATTCACACTTAAATGTGTGATTATTGGTTGGGGAATTGGAGTGAGTGATCAAATCATGTTGGCTATAAAGGAATGTAGTTTATTGAAAAATGTCAGTTGTTAAACAGGGCAAATTCATGAGTCGGTATTTTATTCAACTATTACAGTAGCCGTTAGCAGGCCCCACAACTCGAGGCAATCCGTCAACCGTATCTCCTTGCAACGCATCAGATTTAAAAGTCTGTAGAATCTCAGTTTCAAAAAACAATACTTTTACTCCATAGACATGTATTCCTTTAGGCAAATATAATGATTTTGTTAAAATTTCTGAAAAGAAGTGGAGTTGCAAGTCAGACTTTGATCCCCTTCCATTTTGTTTTAACATGCATCTCTAGCCACCTATCAATCATATCCCATCTTCGCTTATTAGGATAGAATCACGAACCTCCACATATATTCGCTAAACTCACACCATTTTTCACTACCTTACAATATGTATTCCAAAACGCTTTCTTGAAACCAGAATATTGTCGTACCATCCCTTGCCACAATCGAATACTTTTTTTGTTCTACAGACACACTAAAATTCCAACCTTGTGTATACTCTTAGTCTGTAGAGACCAACTCAAAAGAAAAAAAAAAGGACATGCACATTAAAATTGACAGATAAAGTACTAAAAAATCGATAAAAGGTTAATTGTTTGAAACAATTTGACCCCATCATTATATAAACGTACGCTGGCGGTGTCACTACATATACCCACATATAAATGTTTTGTATTTCTGCTAGTTTAAAAAAAAAATCGATTTTAAAAATAAATACATATTAGAAGAAAAACATGCAAGACGCTCCCATAAGAAACTATGTAGTTAGAATTGTAAGGGTTGAATTGAAGGGTTCCAGTTGTTTGAGGAGAGGAAATAAAGGGTGGGTCTTTTTGGGAAAGATTGTTGGAAGGTAGCTGGGTTGAGGGTTTAGATGGCGAGGGTAGGGCTTGAGAGGTCAGGGTTCGGACCGTTCTGCATTGTAACTGAGGTGGTGGATAAGATAGCGTGATTATTTTGGGAAATAACAGCTGCTGGAAACTGGATGTTTAAAAGAAACGGGGAAAGAGATCTTTAAAATTGATTTTACATTATTCTTTATTTAAGTAGGCCTCAGAGTGACAATAAAAGAGGTGAAGTTTTAATTTGAGATGACATAGAACCTAATGTTAAACTTTGGTTTAAAAGTTTAGAATTAATACAAGAGCAGAACATGGTCGGGAAATACCTTGAATAACAGTTGTATTGATGCGCGACAGTTCTTTTGATATTAGGTGCACTGTGGATGCGTGAGAGCCCTTGCGATATACGATGTTAACACGATACAAACTTCAATGTGTTGTAGAAGTTATAAGGGATTTGGGAGGGTGGGGGCTAGAGGCAGTGAAGGATGAATGATTCGCTTGGTTGAATGGAGTTATAATATGTTACACTGGCAATACAAATTGGAACATCCGCTTAACATTGGATGATATCTGCCAATTATGTATCAAGAAATATTATCTTTCGTTTTAGAATATAACTAGCGGATATACCCGGCATTTACGGGGATATCATCCGGAACGTAGGAACTTCTACAGACTACAGCCTTATAGTTATTCCGATCCCGGTGGGATCACAATCCAATCGGTATGTCGCTCCAGTTAGTATACCGTTTCCCGGTGTGATGGGAATCCCTCAGGTTCCCTATTCAGGTATTATCCCAATCCAATCGGTTGTCCGATCCTGATGGTATCTCGGTACCAGCAAGATAACAATATCAATGGGATCCCGATTCCGTGGTTAAATCCCGTCAGCTGTCAGATCCACAGATCTCCGTGGGTTTCAGTTTTCCGATAGGATTCCGATCCCGTCAGTATCCCCTTTTCCGGGGGATACTCTTCTCTGATAGGATCCCATTTCCTCATAGGATCCCGATCCCACTTTGATCCCGTTACCCGATTGGTTCGCGTTAACGTTCTTGTTAACGTTCCTATAATCTTTTACATCCCTTTAAATATCCCTCTGGAACTATTTAGAAATTTCCAGAAAATTCTAGATTACAGTTAATAACCTCCTAAATTGTGTAAACAATAACTTTAAGTAATTAGTTTTTGAACTCAAAACATTATACAACTAAATGCACTTCTATAGCTATAATACATTTAAGCTTAAAGAGTGGGTACAGTGGGGGCCGATTCCATATTTTTTGCGAATCAGTTTTGCCTGAGATGGGGAACCGAATAAAAATCATTCAGATAAATTATGAAATTAAAATTTGTCTGATTAAAATGGTTTAAAAATGCCATAGATATAGCTTTAAATTTATCGAGCTTTCTGAAAAATTCTAGATTAAATATTCTTAGTTTTAAATCCACCGAAATTTCAATACGGAAAATGAACGGAATTGTAACCAAACTAGGCCTATATCCATGAATTCACATAGAAGCTAAAATAGTGTCTAGGCCTATTGATATTTATATAGCTTGTATAAATATAAATGAAATGGGGCCCCCAACCCTAGAGGAATAGGTATTTTGAGTTCAGTACCCCTCGGTATTTGAATATGGGTAATCAGTTGTATGTTTACTAAGTTTGGTCAAGATCCATCTATTCACGTAAGCGTATTAAGCCTATTGATATTTATATATCTTATACTAGAAAAAATGAAACGGGGCCCCCGGCCCAAGAGGAATGGATATTAAGTGTTCAGTACCCTTCGGTACATGAATATTGATAATAAATGGTTTGTGTAATAAGTTTGATCAAGATCCATCTATGTGTGTAAAAGTAATTGTTGTTAATTGCTCATATAAGAAAAAAAAAACACGATTTTTTAACCCTGGGTCCAAACGGATTGTTGTAAAAAGTTTATAAACCCTTAAGGGTTCCTTCCAGATAATGATGGATATATGTGCCAATTTGTTCAAGATATATCAATCCATGTAAAAACGTATGTGGAAATCATCCACCCAAAAACAAACAAACCTTCACTATTATATATGATATGATATATGTCTAACATTTGACAAAAATTACCTTAAACATATTTTTACTTTTTCTGGGATTTTAAAGCTATATGGAGCACTCCATGCAGCTATGTCATAGGGGGTGAGGTCGACAGGATAAAACCAAATGGAAAATTGAAAATTTGACACAATTTGCCGTGGTTTCATTCCTTTATCCATAAAATCATTAAGTTTGTGAGGCCAGAATCAGGTCGAGATTTAGGTTCTTTTACTCCAGAAAAAAAAAATTAAAAATAAACTTGTATTTCATTTCCTCATTACTGGATGTTTTATCTGAAAATGAACTATTAATTGAAATAGCAAATATTCGAATGAAGATTAACGCAACAGATATTAATTTCGATAGTGTTAACGAGCGATGAATTGTTGGAAATTGTGAACTCCCAGCTGAATAGGACTTCCTAGAATCTCTGTCAAACCTCGCACCTTCAATTATTTCTCACCATATGCTAGTCCGTGACTCAACCTTTGAAAACTATATATCTCATGGGACAGTCGGGTGCTTCTAGCTGTTTGATGTATTCATTTGAAAATGGAAGTGATGCAGTGAACAATGTTGATTATGATGAAGTTATTGACATGTTTGTTGAAGTGATCGACAGTTTGTTATCCTTCGAACACCAGGCACGTACAATTTTAAACTTAAATTTTAATATAAAAAAAAAATATTTAAAAAAATGTGTTTCGCCAAGAAGGATTTATTTTAGTTAAGTACAAAATATATTAAATAAAACATGGCACGACATGAAATTGTTTGGGGAGCAATTCTACCAGCGGACTGTACGATCTGGTCAACAATTACTCCATGAAGATCAGAGGGGAGGGGTAGTCAGAGAAAAGGAAAAGTAGGTGGGGGGGGGGTTACACAATGACATTACCGAAACCGGTGGCGCCAACCACATTGACGCCCCTAAATCCGTGTAGAGATAAAAGAGTCTGAAACAATTAAAACTGTTTTAAAGATTAAACAACAAACAAATCATTAAGGCTTATTTCAGCTCTAAAGTAATTAAACACAGCAACAAAACAACAAACAAAACTGCAGCGAGGTAAATAAATTAACTCAAAGCTTATTTCCCACTTTTTTCATTGATTCAACATAATGCCCAGTGCCACTAGTAAAATTCCAGCAGCTCTAGAATTTCATCTCAGACACACCTGCACCAAGTTATTTTACGCTTGGATACACACAAATCTAAACACGCACATTATTGTTTTAGGGACTGAAAACGTAAACGTTAACTTTGAAATCTAGGTCAACTTAACTCAAGCAGTATGTCGTAGCTGTCACATAAACGTTCAATTTATTTCTTGTGCTTAGTCTGCCATGGCGCTGGCTCTTATGGTGTCGCAGGTGTGTTTCTTTACACAATTGTTACTGTGTCATTTTTAACGTGTCGTCATTTAAGAGTTACATATACGTACAGGAATTTCAAACCTTACGTTATGTTCCTACTTGGGACATATATGTACTTTTCTGTTACGTTGCCTTTTTTAAAAATAATTAGCCCAGCTATCTATTATGTGTATCTGAATTCGTTTATGAAAGCAAACGTATTCTATTTTAAAACGAAAGATCGTGGTATTGATTTACCTACAATAAATGTACAAGGAGGAAGTAAAACAAGATAAGGTTTTACACATAATGCTGAATAGTTTTTTATAAACTGTTGTGTGGTATGCCACGGATTACCATTTCTACACATTCATCGTAAATGACGAACACGAGAGACATGAGTGGTTACATCAAATCAAATAGTGAAATGATCTATTCAGAGCATGTGTTACCTTTAATGCAACAAACACACAACGTGTTAACGTATTTTTAACAATTCTTTCTTATGTATTTGAACTAAACAAGAACTCAAAGAAGCGTAAGTGATCAGGATGCGTGTGACTACCCTGCAAGTTGTGATAGTATTCTGTTTACTCTGTGTCATCACACCTGTAGCGTCAGGTAAGCTGTTTTTTATTTATGGACATATATCTCGGAAATATTGATAAACATAAAACAAAACGTGTCTTAATAAATATATATATATTTATTATTGAATTTATACATTTTTGTCTAAGAACACATTTAATCTAAATTTAGGTTGCGACACTGGATGGTTTGGTAATAGTTGTCAGTACCAATGTCATTGTAGTAGCAACTATTGTGACGACAGTGGGGAGTGTACAGATGGCTCAAAATGTGACAGTGAATGGTTTGGACCAGCTTGTCAGTACCGTAAGGATGAATTCCCATTCTTTTAATCTATTCAGTTAGTGCATAAATAGTAGAGTACATAAATTCCACAACCATTTTAACTTAATTTTTGAAAATAAATTATAAATTTCATTGAATTTAAAGAAGGTAGAGAAGTGTTCCCGTGCTTCTTTCATGGGTGTTATATTTAATCAATGATGATAATACAGTTGGTGTTTTTTTTTTATTTTCGCTGCACACTTATAATACACCTAACCCATATAGTCAATGAAAGCTTGTCTTCTGTCACTGTTCCCTCTATTTATAAGTCCCAAAGACTTGCACAAAAACATAAGGTGAACTATCGTTCTTTTTCTGTCCCTCCAAAAAACGAAATTCTCTTCCATTACACATCCACAATATACCGACCATCCCAGCCTTCAAAACTGCACTAAAAACACATCTTTTTAAATTTTACTTTCCTGACTAATTCCCACCTCTGACCGAAAAACGATGCTACTGGGTGTCGTCCATGGCGTGACATGTAAATAGTTTTAAAATATCCATTTGTTTTGTTTCATTTAATTAATGTATGCCAGTTAATTTTTTTAAATTTTTTTTTTTATTATGTTTGTTAAATTGTATTTACAGCGTGGTGAGCCCAGACCTAGGCTAAGGTACCACGCTATATAAACCACTTATAATAATAACATATAAACATATAGCACATATTGCACTTTAAATAGTTATCAGAGTAATTGTGCAATTTCATATAATAGCCACAAATAAAAATAACAGCTTTAAAATGTTATTAAACATGGACTATATGCTTGGTATTAGGTTTTGGCTGTGAACCTATTCCATATTTATTCAATGTAGGCAAGATAAAATTCTATATTTAAATAACATTAAATTCTACTTTCTTTAAACACATAGTTTCTTTATTTATGAATAAAACAATATATACATTGGAATGAAGGTGCCAAAGTGTTCCACTTGCAATAAAATGCCGTTCTACGACATGACAACACAGAACATATTGCCTAGATTACAAGGATTACATAGTTATAATTTTATTATGAAAAAATTGCAAGATGAATAACCAGTTACAACGTTTTTCGTAGAGTTTGGATACACAAGTTAAAAGACATTTTTAAAAAAAATAATAAAACGGATCATTTGTGATCTATTGAAGAACCGCGGTTATAAGCGTACGAATGAAAATCTTTAAATATTGTGTCACACAGAGACATTTGTTGTAATCAATTGTATTCCGTTCAAATGGTAAACATTTTTTTTTACAAGTAATTTTGTTCAATTGGCATGTTTGTTGCAGAGGACTTATTCTCCTTTGCTGTGACATCAACAGTACCAACAATTGACCAGCATACCCTTAAAGACCGAGATGACAATACATGTTTGAATGGAAATATGGAAAACATAACAATAAACTTGAACTCTAGTTACACCATTACATGGATCAGAGTAACTGTAAAGAATACGGGTAGGTTTTACTCTTTATCGATGTAAATAAACCTTAAGAAGATGTAAACATAAGTTTTTTTAAGCTGACATATATATATATATAATATATATTTTTTAAAGAACATTTTTAAGAGTGTTAATTAAAGGTTACACTGAAATAGGTAGGCAATCGTTAAACAACCTTTTCAACTAGTAACTAGATTTGCTTCAAAATAATAATTGCTCCATGGAATATTTCTACGATTTAAAATGATTTCTTGATATGATTATACAGAAACCTCGCTCGACAAAAACGTAAAACTCTAGACACTCTAGGAAATGGTAAATTAGATGCGGTTATTTTAAATTAGAATCTATAAATAGATATTTGCGTTTCTGAATTGTGATTTTTTCATAATTTATTTTTATTTTTCTACATAATATAGACAACCCAACAACTTTTCAGGCTATAAAAATAACAAAAAGTAAATATATTTTCAAATAAGGGGTTACAGAGTTTTGCCACGTTTCAATAATTTAAATAAAAGCTTGCACTTTAACCTACGCCTTACTGCTTATCAATATGGACTCTTCTACACCAAATTAGGGATTTTTTAGCAACTTAAAAAAAAAAGTGCAACAAAATAAATAACAAAAAATCACAAAATAAACTTCTTCGTTATATTTAAAGAACATGATATAGACTTAGAAAAACATAAGAGCTATTATAGGGCTATTTATGTAATATTAAGGACGTTATAGAAAATTAAACGTAAATGATAGAGCTTAAAACTACTTAAAGATATTTTAAGATGGTTTTACATTCATTCATCAATTCACTTAGAGCTCTATATTGTTATCTTAGATTTAATTTTTTTCTCAAGCTTACTCAAGACAACATGAAAAAAGGGCCTGGGACACCTAAAGAAATTATCAGCGATAGACATTTTTAGGTTCCAATAACATAGGCAATTGTCACCCTCTGGAAAATTATGGGAATATTTAAGAAAACAGACAAAAATTAGCCCCTGTGTGATGATTAAACATCGTACCCACCTTGAGCCGGCCATGACTAATGGGGTGAATATTATGAGCTCCAACCCTACAGTTATTAATATAGATTTTCATGCGCATGTGTACCAGGTTTCCGCTACCCCACAGACAACTGCTATGCAATGATAATAACGGTTAAAGCCCCAAGACAGTAAGTCCCTAATAACGCAAAAGCACCATTTAAGCTTGGCCCTGAACTGTGGGGTAATTCTAATCTAATGTACAGCCACCCTATACCACTAAATAAACCGTAGTTTCCTAAAATAGTTTCTTTTTTTATATTTAAAGATTATAATTTCATTAAACTCTCATAGCTTGTTTAAAACGTTATTTCAAATATATGTTGCTAGTTCAATATTCTGCAAACATAGAATCAAGTATTTATTTCAATTTATTGCACCAAACAAGACCTACCGGTGGCGTACCGTGACTAAATCCAACCCCGGGGAACTCCTGAAAAGGCGCCCTTTACAATAATTCGTCAGTGGATCTTGTCCCCCCCCCCCCCCCCCCCCGCACTCATTGTGCACCGTTGTGCATTCTTAATCGTTGTTTACCCCTTGTGCGATTAATTACTTTTGCACCAAATGCACACAAAAGAAGACGTGCCTAAGTCATTGAGTTTAATATAATATATATGGTATACCAAACTGTCACCTCCTATTAATACTTAGCAATGGTGATGAATCCTAAACATTAGAAAAAAAACAAAGAAAATATTGTTTTTTTTTAAACTTTCAAATCAGGGCATAGATCCCGGGCTTTGTGACATTAATTAAAATAACATGGTTACAGGGTAAAAGAATCCTCAAAATCCGGGCATGCGAAATTAATTATTGTAGATTCTGCCTCTCTGCATGTATTTTAACGCACGCTATAGTTCTGTTTTTCCCCATATAATCTTTAAGAACTTTTTTAACGGATCTTTTAAAGCGCCACGAAATTTTATATATAGATAATACTTATTTGAAAACGCACCGTTTTGAATCAAAGCTTTATTAAAAGTGCTAACATCCAAATTAAAGTATCTCAATCAAACCATATGTTTATGGAATGACAATTTCAAGTCATTTAAGAATAAAATGTTGTTTTTTACTATTTAATTTATACAATTTTACTATTTTTTTAAATACAAATTAAGTGATACTAGGTATTGTGATGAAATGTTTCTAGAAACCACGTGTAGGTCAGGAAGTATGACCATAGTTCTAATGTATTGTAATACGGTTTTGCAAATTTTATTAGTTTTAAGCTTAGGCTCGTGTGTTGAGCAATATGGAACAAAACAAACAAAAAAGACTGAAGAAAATAAGACATCAAAGCTTGTGATACTAGAAAAATTCAATTTAATTCCACTATTAAATGTATATAAAAATACAAAATACAATTTATTTATTTATTTATTTAGGCATTACCATAAAGCTCTAAGCACTTTACAATTATTAAAAACATGTAAACTAAGTAAAATAAAAATGAGACACTAGGATAGTAACTACTATACTATAGAAACAATTAAAATGGTTATAAAACGAGGACACTTTGGCAGGTGTTGGCCTATACTACAGGATTAACCCAAGACAGAAAATGAGGCAGGGAAAGGAGGGTGCATCACGTGTCATAGGCGGACCTAAACAGATGGGTTTTAAGGGACTTTTTAAAAGTGGACCAGGTTTCACAATGACGGATATGGAAGGGGAGCTGGTTCCAGAACGTGGGCCCATGGAAGTAGAATGAGCATTCACCGATGGTCTTAGTTTTGGTTCTTGGGATTGAGAGGGTTCTATTGTCAATGGAAGAGCGTAGTTGTCTTGTGGGGATGTAAGGAAGCAAATAAACCAAAATAAAAAATATATCGACTTACAGCACAACAAGGAAAAAATTAAAATCCTTGAAAGATCTAGAAAATAATTCCTAGAAATTGCATCCCTTGATAGCATTTTTTATAACAAATTAAAACATGATCCAGCGTAAAAAAAAACCTTTTTTCCCGATCAAGGGTGGATTGGGTAAAAATGATTGAAGCTACCTGTTCAATCTGTGACGTAAATATTAAAACAAAAATGGAGGAAGTGAGGTAAGGTTGATGGCAACATATTATCAACACACAGGCACGATGTCATGTTGTTTTTTTGTTGTTTTTTTTGCAATCTATTTTGTTGTTCCTTTATTAAAGAGAAGCGAAATAAAATAATTACAAACAATGAACTAGCAGCATTTTCACACTGAGCTTTGTATAGTAGAAGCTTTAAAAGCTGCATACTGTAGCTCAAACGCACATGAACATAAACAATCTCTCTGTACCCTATGTCTATGCAGGTTTTAAACGTAACATCACAATGATGTTAAATGATGCACAAGGCTCTACATATACTTGCAACAAGGCATATCTCATCGATGACACAACTATGGATCTAGTATGTGATGCTCAGATCTTAACGACACAACTAACACTGACAGGCCAGGACGTTGGATACCTGTGCTCACTCAGTATCAGTGGAGGTAAAAATATCAAAGGAGTATATGTATTTTTTAATTTAAAAGGTGAAGTCAAACTATTACCTATGGCTCCATTTCTTGGTGTATTGACATTTTTTTACTTGAGAAATTTTATTTAATCCGGCTTTGATTAAGTTTTGTTGAGGATATTTCTATTTCTAGACAATGTTTCCAATAAGAATCTATATATGTCACAATCTTTAATTATAAAGAATCATGTAGGTTGCATAATACATCCATAATTAGACAAATCAGTAAATAACTCGGGCACTTGTGAATTTTTACATAATTGACAAAATATGATAATATTTCACGTCTAGCAGCTATTGTGCAATTTTATTTTTTATTGAAAATTGTTTCATCTTCCCTAATTATCAACACATTTAAAAAAAATTCTTATCGAATTATTCATAATGTATGTGTCACAAACTAGGAGCATACAAAAGTACTGCTAATCATTGTATATTTCTTGGCTAGTTTAATCCTTAAACTTACGCACCAATATTCATCTTCTTTAAAGCTATTAATATAGGTGAGATAAATTACAATTTGTTTGAGTTGAAAAAGGGATGTAATCTAAGTTTTACAAGACAGATTAACGAAACAGATAAAGTTCTTAAAACAAGTAACTTTGTAACGTAATGGCACTAAAGATCAAGGCTTTTAAACGTTATGGATAATTTAAATTAAAACCTTTCCCATTCACCACTATATTTTGTATTTAAAATGATTAGGTATAATGAGAGATTAAAAGACATTTTTGAGACTAAATTGTTTAGTTAAAAGTGTTACAACCTATTTCAGGACGCAATGTAGCACTTAAACAAAGAGCTGTGCAATCAAGTGAATACAGTGATAAAAACATTGCCAATAAAGCTGTAGATGGTAACAGAAATACAGACTTTACTAAAGACTCTTGTACACATACAGCTGTTTTGGATGCCCAACCAAACTGGAACGTACAATTCTTGACCAATAAATTGGTAAACAGATATGTGTTGTTCAACAGAGCGAATAGTAAGTACTTATGTGAAATGAATTGAATTCATGCAATTTGTATTATATATTTCTTTTTCTTAATATAAAAACACGGCATTGATACCTACATAATGTCGATGTTTTATTTTTTGTATAGAATTATATATACCATAATTCTAATCATGTAACTGTCTGCGTTTTAAAAAAATAATTTTATATGCAAGTTGTTAAATTTAAGAAAGAACAAAAAAATGGATTGGGAAAATTTTTAAAATGTTCCTTAATTTTTATTCTCCCTTAATTTACACATTAGTAACTTTTTCTCTCCTTTATTATAGTCACTTCTTTAATGCTCAATTATCCTTTTGGCTAAGTATTGTCTTGATGAAGTGAATCAAAATGTAGAGAAAGTTGAGTCATTTAAGTACTTAGGTTTCACCATTAATAATAAGCTAACAAGGCAGGAGCACGGTCATAGGTTGTATAAGAAATTAAAACAAAGACTGTGCTACCTAAAAAAAAAACTGTAATATTTCGGCGTAAAGAAACAAGTCATTAAGTTCTTCTACAGTGCAACAATTGAAAGCCTACTTAGTTTCAGTATTAAGCTTCCTGCTGGTGTGGGAATTCAACGTCTGATATTAAACACCGCATAAACCGACAAATCAAGAAAGCTACGAACATAACACAAACTAAACATGCTTCACTTGAAGAACTTTTCAAAGAAAGATGTTAATTTGAATCTAAATAAAATTTGGATTATATATCCCACCCTCTTCATCACAGATACTTTGGATCGGCCCGTTCAGGGCGAATTCTTTCTCTCAGTGCGAGGACTGAAAGATATAAACATTCGTTTGTTCCCCCATCTGTACGAAGAGTGTTTCTTTCAGAAATTTTCCACCGGGGGAGCACTTCAGATTTTCGGAGTGAGGGCACTTAAGATTTTTCGGGGAGGTATTGCCAGCAGTTCCAGTTGATTTATTGTTGCACATATGTTTGGTACGGGGAGAACTTGGCTTTTCCCGTGGGGGGGCACTGCCCCCCGGCGATATAGCTGACACAGACTCTGTGTACGATTTTACCAGAGTGCTCCCTCCTGAGGTCACAAATCTTAATGAGAACTAATAAGTCCCCTATATTGCTAAGAGAATTCATTGGATTGCTGTTTTTTTTTTTGTGTCTTTTTAAAATTATTTTTAAAAATATTTTTTTAACTTGTGGAATAATTTATTATAAATGTCTTATGTTTAAATGGTATTATTTGCGTGCTGAAAATGTACAATGCAATTTTAAAACATTTCCATTTTTTATCAATGAAAAGATCTTATCTTATCTTATCTACAATCATTGGATTTAAAGATATTTTCATTCACGAAAAAATGTGAACACTTTAAGATTCCAACCCCCATTTAATTCACCTTATAAGATTAATTAATTATCAAATTCATTGCTTTATTCTGAGACTTACCTTGTCGTGTGTGGGGAAAAAACAAAGTTTTGAATATCCGTCCCTCGTAGTTTTAATAAAAAGTTACATTAATAATATCATCCACGAGATGGTAGCCCCTACATAAGCAATCACGTGATTTTTCACGTCCTTCAACTTAAATAAAATTCTTAAGTCCCATATCCCTTTGACCACACATTGTTTTATATTTTCTATAGTCCCGTATATTGAAATATTATGGTTTTTTTTTATTATAACATTTAAATATACCTAAGTTCATATCAGTCACATACTTGGGTTTTGGAATATTGATATCAACATGAACCAATTGCAACTTCATAACGTTTGTTCTTATTTGGATGAGCGATAGAGAATTAGTGAGTTCTATTTGGCTATGAAATTTTGCAGCACTAACTTCACTGCACTAATTTCGCTGCACTAATTTCACTGCACTAATTTCACTGCACTAATTTCGCTGCACTAATTTCGCTGCACTAATTGACTTAAACGGAATTTCTTAATTACAAGTATTTTTAAACATAACGTTTTTATCCCTTTTCAAATTTGAATAAAGTAAATTTTAGGAATGAAAAATAAGTAAAAAGTTATTACATTTTTGAAAAGACTAAGTAAACATTTGATGCGTTTTATTAACAATTTAAGCTGTAATCAATTATATTTATTAATTTCAATCTTAAGAGGAGGGTAATACAATCTCAGTTATGTCACACGTGGCTCTTAATAATTAAAAAAAAAACGTGAAGCATTTTATTTTCAAGTTTAAATTTTGCTTCTATGAAATTTAAAAAAAAACTTTTTAATTTGATATTGTTAGAAGAAATTTAGATAAATATAATTTTTATTTAATTTTAAAATATTAACAACCCATTAAAAAGCAGTTGTTGGGTTTTTCCGATAAATGTGATTATTATTGCATAAAAATAAAAAAAAAAGTATTAAATGAACTTTTATTATTCAATATTATAAGTTTCAAATTCTGATAAAATGCTTAAATACTTCTTAAATTGTTATTTTTAATGTATTTGTAATTAATTTTTAAAATACTTAATCATATAGCACATACACGTTTATATACTGTATTCTCTCTTTTTGCGCGTTTAAATTTGATTTCCGTAAAAAAAAAGAAACTAACTATCATTGTGTTTAAGAATCCAAACCTAATTAAATTGCTTTGTTTATGTAGCGTTATGGATTTCCTAGGTCATTCTTATATAGATGTATGTTACCGGCAATATGTAAAGGTCAGGTATTTTATAGAATGCACATGACTAAAATTTATAAGCAAAGTAATAAATATTTGATTTTCGTGATTATCTTTTTCCTTCGCATTTTATACATGGCTTAGGTATTATACGTAATGACAAATATGCATAAGCAAGGGTTCAAACAAGCGTAGTTGAAATTATTTTCATTGGAATCACATAATGGATAACGAAAGAAGAAATATGAAATAAGTAAAGGACATTCTCAACAATGAAAGCGGAAAGCAAAGTTGGCATCGATCCAGTTGTTGCAAGAAGAGAGGCTGGATTAGCAGTTTTAATTGCACTTATTTTTTTTTTTCACACAAAGACACTTCATGTGTCAACACTTGGTCCATGTTCACCTCACAAATCCTTGTCACGAGTCTATGGTTGCTTCAGGTTGACTGAGATATAGCAGCGGATTGGAGAGGTATTTCATTGAAGGGACGTCTTCAACTCTCAAAAATTCATTTTGGAAATGCAACGAACTGGGATCTTCCATACAGTTATTTCAAGATAACTTGTGTAGTCCCAAGTTGCTGAAAGCCGTCTTCTGCCACTGTCGTAACACCTAGCAACAGATTGCGCGAGTCACCTCTTCACTTGTCAGGAATAAGAGCTCCCACAGTGGCTTCTAAAGGTGCAAGAGGAAATTTTATGTCAGAGTTCATTATCATTTTGTGGGCTTGATTGCAAGGTTCGATTTATATTCTTTCCAGGTGTCTACGGCTCTTTCACTTCTTTTGAGGCCCACGGATACTACTTCCAAGCTCAGTGCTTTTTCTTTTTTTAAACTTTTATACCGTTTTTTTGGTTCTCTGACGAAAACTTTCTGCCCACACGTTCGTTGTTTTGTTACGTTTCTTTTTTCAGGTTTAACCCTACTCCGTTTTACTCACTTTATATCTCTCAATCTTGAAACAGAGGCTGCAGAAAATAACAACACCTTAAACACAGATCACATGAACATTATGACGACAGTTTCAGCATGTGCGGGCACTACCGCTCTCTTTTAAGCAGACACAACAAGAATAAGAAATGTAAGGCCCATCGCTAAACATGCCGTCACAACTGTTTGTTTTCCAACATTATCGGGTGCTTTCCATTCAGTATTCTGTGTAGTAGGCTCTGTGTCTTGTACCTGGTGATTTTCTTCTTTCTTCTGTGTTATTGGTACGTTTTATATTATTTTGTTTAGATTTCTTCCCCAGTATGCATGTCTTGAAAAAAATCAGGGGGTAGGGAAGACGTTGCGAGTGAGGCCAACTTTAGCATTGCAGCCACACAGAGCTTTAAAAAGGCATTCTCTTAATCTCAGACGAAATGTAATCCCCCAGTGCAATCGACAGTTTTTCATCTTGCACCCTATCACATAGCATGTATTCGATGTCTTGATTAGATCTTGATTAGATCTTTCAACACCGCCCTTCTTTGTGAGTGGCATGGTCACCGTGAACGACCTTTAACTTGGACCAGTACTCCTTCGGTCATGAGACTGTAGAATTAATGAAGCTACAAGCAACGTAAATATATCTACAAGTGTGTTGACTACTACTTCCACCCTCTTTGATAGTAGATCCCTCCGAACCACAAACATTGTGAGAGGATTTTAGTACACCATTATACATTATATTCCTTGTCAGGATGGGAATGAAATTCGATACGGTCGTCCTGACCATGGGATTTGAATGCAGAAAAAACATAAACTTCACCACTTTTTGATATATTTTGTTTCTCTGTCAGGGCTCACAAAGAAGGAAGTAAAGTTAAAGATCATTACGACCAATGTTCTTATACTTGTGCCAAAGTTATTTCAACATTCAGTTTCGTCCTCCATGTCCATCGGCCAAGTACGTCAAATAATTTAGAATCCATGACATAGAGCTGAAGAGCAGTGACGTGTTCTTTAACATGATAAATCAATTTAAGTTTGTTCTCTACCGCCATTACGTCATAGCGTTTCAGCAGCAAATTGTCTCGTGGTTACTTCCGAGTGATCCGAGCATTTTTTCACACCATCCACTAGTTTTTAGAAACTGGTTTTCGTTAAAGAAAAGCAGTGTTTAGCTATATTGGCTGGTACTTGAGAAATTTCACCGTAGAACCGGCGTTGCATGTATACATGCCATGACTCATGATCTGAAACTACAATTTTTCTTCCAACACCTCAGCAGCCATCTTGAAACGGTAGCGGCAAGCGTCTTAGACGGGAGCACGAAGCACGTGTGTCGCGATCGCCAAGCCACCGCCGAGCAAAGAATCAAGCATTGATGGCGGGTATTCTATACATTGCCGGCTCGCTCTTTGGTATTGTATAGAATGCCTAAGAAATGTGCGAAATATAAAACATTTTATAAGTTACCTATAAACCTCAGATTCTATAAAATTTCCCGGCATTCTATACCATGCCGGATTTCTCACATTGCTTGTATCATATATAACACAGACATTAGAATACTTATTATAAAATAAACATATGTTTAACATTTAATGAGTCAGTATTGTCAAAGGGAAACGATAACTTCCAGCATTTCGGAACAAATTCATTGTGTTATAAATGGTTTAAAATTTTATAGCTGAGATACCTTAATATTATGTTAATTGCTTGTACATGCTAATAATAGCTTGTTATTTAAAGAAGAGTATAACAATTTAAGGACATTTTTTAAGTCATTTTTACAGTTTTTCAAACATAAGTCAAGAGAAATACATTAATCATGACTTGTAATTAAGTAAGGAAATTATAATAAAATGTGTCTACAGTTACAGATAATAGTTGTTTTAAAACACCAATGGCTAATGATACATTTTATTCAAAAGACAAAGTGTTATTTGAGTTTGCAATCAGTGTAATTTGTTTTCCACAATATTTTCTATAATTAAATATAATATTTTATTTTAATTCGATTTTATAGTCTTAACTTTAAAATGCATTATTCCATGTGAAATAAAATTATAGATTCATTATTTTTAAAACAAATTCTTTTTATTTTCAGACATGCCTAGACTCCGACAAGCAAATATATCGAGTTATAATGCTGATAATAAGTTAGTGTTTAATTACATCTTACCGGATGCAGATCAAATTGTCTTTGTTTTGACAGACGTAACAACGAATGTTCACAATGTCACAATATATGCAGGTTACACGAATAGTTTGATACTAACTTTGTGTGAGGTAGAAATATATGGCGGTAAGTAAATACTTTTACGTTTCTTATTATCTTTATAAAGGTATGAGTATTTTTTCCTTTACATAGAATATTATTACATATTTGGCAAATCTTATCACTTTAATACTCCTTTTTCTAAAGTTTTCTCTAAAAAAAATTTAAAAAGAACAATACTGTGGTGACTGCAATCAATCTACACGTGGACTAATGAAGAAAACGAAATATGAAATCTAAAGAAAAAACTCAACAACTTTATAAAAGTGTTTGCCAAAGGCTTCCTTCAAGTATCAGAACCAAGAAAAACTGTACAGATAACATGAAACGTCAAAGGAATTTTAGTGATAAAGTTCTGGGTTTAAATTGGAGAGGTGAACAAAAAGTCAAGAATCATTGAGTAACTAGGGCAATGAAAATAGCAAACAGTTTTAATTCTAAAGCAAAATGGTGAGAAATATTTAATAACGAAAAACAATTCATGTGCATCAATCTGCATGATGATAAGCCGTCGAACACATATCAGAGTATTCTTTAATCCTCGAACTGTTGCATGGATCATTCTGTTGTGTGGAGTTTTTCAGAGCTTTTTGAGTGCCTTTTGAAATTGCATTAAATGACATAGAAATATTGATACCAGACCCCTATAAGATGATATATTTTAGAAAGTTAAATGGATGGGGATAAAGTTGGCCATATTGCCTACCCCGTCAAAAAAATTTTGGACAGTGTCCTTGATCTTGGAGTTCTCAAGAAAGTAAAAATCGACACAATGTCTTGCTTTCAAGTGCTCGAAACATCATTAATTTTTATAGATACACTTAAAACACAATCTAAATGTTGTAGCCAATTCATTTATCTTAAAGAAAATGTATAGTTTGCTAAGGTTGTTATTGCTAATACACACCTGAAAACAATTTTAGTAATTTTAGGTCATTAAATGAGAAACTGGGACCACTTCTAAAACCAAGTACAAAATACAAAATCTCAGTCAAAATAGTTATTATTGACTAGTAAAAATTTAAAAAGGAACTGTGGAACTGATTTGGGTTGTTAAACTAAACAGTTTATTAGTTTCGATCTATAATCTGCAGCTTCTGTGACTAAAATTCAGTCAGTCCTTGCCCAACCTCCGGCTTGGCTCGAATTCAAACAGTAACCTCAGTAGGCCTACTTCAGTATCACTAAGACTAGTACCCAGATTGACGAAAAGAAGAATCTGAAGTGAGATATCATGGGGAATGTTAAAATCATCAGCAGTATCACTTAAATCCTCTCCTAAAAAGCTTTCAAAAATATTTATATTAGTTCTGGCACTGAAGGCCCGGCCACAACTTCCGCCATTTTTACTTTAAAAAAAAAAAAGCAGCGATATAAAATTCCTATTAAAAAGCACTTATTGTTAAGTGATCAAGAAACAGCTTCAACAGGAAGTTTTATTTAATTATTAATAAAAGCAAACGGCTACGATTTCGATTAAATATTGGATTGGAAGTTGCTATCGGATCGTGCTTTTTATCGGCCGATTTCGTCGGCCGACCACAGTTCAAGGGTTAAACTGGGCAAGCCCCTTTGTAAGCATGTAGCGAAACCGAGTGGTGGGGGTTTGTGGTCCATAGCTGTCACTAAATTTTTAAATTGTGTCCACACACAGTATGAGGTTGTGAAAAATATAGCTTTCTTTTTGTTCCAAAATATGGTAAAAATAAATTTTAAGAAGAAAAACACAATTTTGAATTGTCAGATGTGACTAGTGAAACATCTAAGGATGTTTTTTTGGGTGGGGGGGAGGGGGGATGGAGGTTCCCGGTGCACCGCCCCCATCCTCCCCGAAGTAATGCTGTACTGGGGTTGTCACTTCAAAGTCACTTGGTCTTTATTCTTCCGATCTTCTCTGCTTTGCCCAGACACGAGGTGAGATATCATGTTCTTCCCAAAAGGGTTTCACCCCCTGACTAAAAGAAATAAAGCGGGTAGACTGGACCTCCTGGAATAGGACATTGTGATAACGAAATGTGAGAGTCTTTGAACAGCGCTACGTGCTGATGGATCGCAGAACATGAGATTTAGGTGTCATGAAAATGCAACACGTTCCTTTGCACTAAAGTGGATGGGTACGAGTTATCTAGGGGTATACACGAGCTATCAGAGCAATACTTAAAGCCCACGACGACTGCTACCTTTTCTATTATATGGCACCCTGCCACAGGTGTTGTTTCTTTTAAATCAATATTTTAAATTCGTAATACTCTTTGAATGTGAGTCAACTTTTGTATGCCTTTTGAGATAAGCTCTATTGTAATTTTGTCCAAAACTGTTTTTATGTTGTTTGAGATCTTCTCAAACGCTTCTCGACGTGCTCTTCATCTTTACATATTTTTAGTAGCTCAAGTAAGAGACATGCTTGATTCAACAAGTAAAATATGATTTATAATCATCATCATTTAAATGTCATTAAATGTATCTGTAAAAAGCTGTTTAATAAATGCAATCGTTTTTTTTTTCTATCGATTTTCAACAGATTCAGTTTGCTCCACCGATCATTTTGGTTTGGAATGTGACAAGTCATGTAACTGTGAGAAAAAAACAGAGACGTGTTTTGTGGCTACTGGAGGATGTCCATCTGGTTGTGCTGCTGGTTTTTATGGAGAGAGTTGCCAAAAAAGTAAAATCAAATTATAACTTGGTTCAAAACGATTTTGGTTTAAACAGATGTACTACTTACAAGTAATTGTTTCAATTTTTTTTTTGAAATACAAGTATAAAAAAAAATTAAAACAGGATATCATTTATTAATCATCTTTTAAGTGTCTTTGTTGGATTGGATGAGCAGTCTACAATGTAGGATTGTAGCTATGTGCCGTCTTAAAGTGCACTATCTTTAATACTGATATATTTATTGTGTTCTTTTTTCGCCTATTCTTAAATATCGGCACGATCATTAAGAATTGTTATGCTCGATATGTTCTTTTACTGTTCCCTCTACCTCAATGACAAAATTAAAGAAAACAAAACCAAAAAAAACGGCGAAATTCAAACAAATCACCCCAAACTTCAGTTAATTCTAGAAATGAAATGAAGGACGTAACATCCTATTTGTCATTACACTTTAAACATGTTTATCTGGATAGCATCAATGTAAAATAATATATATTAGAGAATATTGTTTAGTGTCTTGCAATGTTTTTAATTGTAACTCTAGACAGAATATTATTATGTGTCGCATTTAAGAAACTTATAATGAATATAAAGGATGTAAATAAATTAATTAAAAAGTAGAGATTTACAATGGGTAAAACTGTTCCGTGTGAAGCGAATTGAATTGTGTCTTTGAGACATCGCTAATCGCTATACTGATAACATGCTCCTACCGATTCAGTTACGTAGTTTTACTTAATGCTGAGTTGTGGGCTGCATCACACATTTGTGATTCTCCCTTCCCCGAAACACATTAGCATATTAAGTAAGTATTAAACATTAATCAAAGAATCCACACAACAGTAAATCCTTATAAATGCAAGAGCCCGTATAATGCAAGCCCTTGAAATAGGGGATGAGGCTGAGCTAATGTTCAACCTCTGATAGAATGAAATAAACTTTAGTTTCTCAAAATGGCACGGGACGTATGTCCGTATATTTACAGAAAATGAATTTGTTAAAAACTTGGTTCCAATTATTTTTTGATAACATAATGTTCTTTGAACAATGAATACAGCTTTGTTTGAAATATGTGAATTAAACAAAAGTGCAACTGAAACCCTACTTTAATGTATTTTTCAAAAAGTTTAACACTCTGAAGAAAATGTGTCTACAGAAATTATTAACTTGAACGACCCTTTTAGCTGATTAAAAACAATCTGTTTACATTACATCTTTTGGGATATATGGATTTTGGCCAAACTCTCCAAAGGACAAAGTATAGGCCAGGAGAAATCATCTGGTCAATTTCAGATGTAATCCTTCATTTGGTTTTCTTATTACAGATTAGAAAATTAATAAACTTTCGCACAAAGATATGCACACTTTGCTTTATTTAGTAGATTCAATTATATTAAATACACATCTCTTTCTCAAACAATTCTGCTCATTATTTTTAAAAGTACTTGTCGTTCTTTCGTCACAATAAACAAGGATCAGCTAATCAAATGATTTTGGGGGAGGGTGTGGGGTGTTTCGTTCACGCAGAGTGCGTAGGTGGCTCTCTAGCCCAATCAAATGCTCGAAATAGTCTCTGCACCGACGGCAGGGGGATAGTTGCTTTAGTCGTTGGTCTAAAGTTGCTTTTTGGGCTAGACTGTGTGACTCAGCTGTCCCTATCCTTCTGGCTTCATGAGATTTAGCCCCCTTTTTGAAAGCTGATCTCCACTTTGTTCTGTCCTGTGCTTTCTGCCGCAATTCAAAATAACTGATGCTAAAGGCCTTTACTGTTGCTTTCAGTGTGTATTTGAATCAATTTATTCGCCTCCTTGGGAGAGCTTGCCTAGCGTGAGTTCAAAGAAGAATAGCAATTTAGGGAACCGGTTGTCCTCCTTACAGGTTTCGTATCCGGACCAACGAAGCTAAGACTGCATCAAGGTAGTGAAGATGCTAGATGGGTTTATTACTCTAGCGAGGACCTCCGTGTCAGGCACATTGTCTTGCCACCTGATGCCCAGGAGTTTCCTGAAGCATGTTGTGTGAACATAGTTAGTTTCTTGACCTGACGCTGTTAGGCTGTCTACGTTTCACATACGTAGAGCAATGCCGAGAGGACTGCTGCGCTATAAACCTTTATCTCTGTTTTGCGTCTGATAACTCTCCTGACTCAAAAAGTAATACGGAGTCTGACAACAGTTGCACTTTTTTTTCCAAGACTCGCATTAATTCAATTATGACATATCTGGATAGGGTGCTTTCCACGTAGTTAAATTTTTAACCATATGTAGATGCTGTCCAATGATGGTTAAGTTAGGTAAATAACAGCACTTACTGGGAGCTGGCCAATACATCACTTTAGTCTTCTTTGTGTTGATTGTGAGGCCGTAAATGCTGTAGGCCTCAGAGAAGATATCAACGCTTTTCAACATGTCATGTTCTGAGGAAAAGTTGAGGGAACAATCATCCGCAAACAGAAGATCGCTGATGGAGTTTGGTGTGATCTTGGTTTTAGCCTAAAGCTTCTTATGGTTGAAGACTGATCCATCGGTGCGGAACTGCATGGGGAGCCGGTTTTGAAGTCTTTGAACGCATCAGACAGCTTTGTAAAATACATAATACCGATAATACATAATACACAGTCTTGCTTCACAGCGTTTGTAACGGTTAAAGCTTCTTCTTCTTCTATATCTTAAGGGCCCACGATCAATTTATAGATCATTTTGGCTCTTATGCATGTAGATGGGATTTGCAATGTTTCTGTTACTGGTGTTGATGAGGAAATCATGCACTAGGGGTTTGAAGGCTGGATGCAGTAGACACAAATGTGTCTAGTGTTGTCGCCTCAACCGTTCCTTTCGAAAGATTGTTCCAGTCCCTGATTGTCTTGGGCAGGAATGAGCAGCTCGCGCCATTATGCCATCATACAGCTGACTGATGATTTTGGTAAACTTGTATAGGCATTTATACTTCTTCATGATTTTCCTCGGGCCACCTCCATTGACCCTGTAAAAAGCCTTTTTTTATGTCGATAAATGTGGAAAATCGGTCTGAATTTATTTCCTGACATTTCTTTTGGAGCTGCCTTGCAGCAAACACCATGTCGATAGTTGCGCGTTCTTTGCGGTAGCGCATAGTTTTTACAACGAAGACCTAGCTATACATATTGACTAAGCCGGTTCAGTAGAGTTAGGGCCTATATCTTGCCTGTGATGAACTTTAGTGAAATTCCGCTGTTATTGTCGCAGGCCTAGTCATTTCATATGTGTTTGTACATGGGGATAATTGAGGCGTCTTTGAGGTCTTTTGTTACATTTTCCGGCTTCCACATGATCTGGAATAAACGCATTATCTTATCCGCAAGCACTGGTCTAGCTTCTTTATAGATTACGGTAGGAATGATGTTGGAGGCAGGTCCTTTGCCACCGCACAGGTGTCGGATAGCTGTCTGTATCTCGACCAAAGATGGGACAGCGTCCAGTGTTTTTTTTTGTTAGTACCTGGGGCAGAATTTCAATGGCCTCATCATTAATAACGGAATGCGTACACAGCACACTATTAATAAGTTCCAACCATCTTTCATAGATTTTATTCTTGTCTATAATGAGTGTAGAACCGTCTGCACTAAGAAGAGGGGAAAGACTAATGTGGTAACATCATAGATTTCGTTCAGGACACTGTAGAAGTTTCGCATGTCTTTTATGTCTGCAAAGCCTTGAATGTAACCAACTTTCGCACTCAGCCAGGAGTCTTGCATCTGGTGCAGTTCATAATGGATCTTGCTATGGATGCGCATCAGTTCAGATTTCTTTGATATTGACATGTGATCATTATGGAGGGCAGTGCACGCCAGACGTTTTTGATCAAATAGAAGGTGGATCGCTAAGTTGTTTTATCAAACTAATTGCAGTGTTTCTTCGAAGATTGTCCCAAGTGCTCAACAGCTGTTCTATACACCGTCTCGCGAAATGTGGTCCATGCTGTTTCCGCGTCCTGGTTGTTCAATGTGATTTGATCAAGGCTTTCATTCATCGTCAACAAAGTTTTGGCTCCCATCAAGGATCTTCAGCTAAATGATATTTGAGGCGTTTCGGAGCTTAGGTGATCTGAATTTGTTCAATGGAATTTTCATCTTTGAGACTATTAGGCGGTGGTCCACCCTTAGTCATCCTCAAGTCCTGGTGGTCCATGTTTCTGACGATGTCATAAACTATTAAGTGCCAGCGTTTTGAACGGGTGCAGCCAGACACTCTTGTTTTGCGTAGAGAAGTTAAAGTTGGTGTTTTTTATTAGAAGTACGTGTTCAATACAGGTCTGTCTGAAAAAGAACAAGGTCATTGATTTTGCAATCTCTATTACCATGTCTACCCATCAATCCCGCCAGGAGGTGCTGTCACTGCAGACACGTGAATTGAAATCTACAAGAATTATGAGTTTGTCAGCAGTAAGTGTGGATGAGATGACAGTGTCCAGATCTTCATGAAACTTATCTATGGTCTCTTCTGTGTTTTTCATGACGGTTGCAAACTGAAAATGTTTGCAGCCTTCTTTCCATGCAGAGGAGAAGTTTTATTCTTCTTCTTATATTTTAGGGACCAACGATCAATTTGTTGATCATTCTGGCTCCCGGTTTAAATTCAGAGTTTGCCATCTCTTAGATGGTTACCGTCCAAGGCTAACGAGTCCCATCTACCCGGGGTGCTTGAGGTTTGTTGGCTTTGATGGGGACTGAACTCCGGACCACCGGCTTTTTTTTTTGGTTTGAGACAGTTTAGACCGCTCGGCCACCCAGCACCCATGATACGATATAGTCATGATACGATCATTTTATACCTTTTGGTGAGCTGGAGAGCATGCTTGGAAAAGAGGTTTTGAAAGCAAAGCCAACTCCAATTTCTCGCCTTGTCTCAGGGTCACATCCATTTCAGAAGAAAGAAAAGCCAGCAATCCTTTCTGAGAGTTCGACTTTGCCAGAGAGTCAGGTTTCACTCAGGGTGACGATGTCTATGTTGTATCTTTCAAAATAATGGGAAATAAGCGCAAAGCGTCGGTGAGGTCCGTTTGTAGTGTCTCTTTCAAGCAGGTTACAGACGTTCTATGTGGAAATTTTTAGTGAAATCGAGTTTGTCTTTGTTTTCCAACGCAAAATTGGGTCCTCCGACCGTGTTTAGACGGCTAAGGTGTAAAAGAGCAGGCAATTTGATTGTACCTCTTCTACCCCCTCCCTCGTGGATGGGGGTTAACAGTGCTGTCCTGAACAGACTGCTCAGACTTTCAGGTGGCTGCCGAACTGAACTTCTGCTCCGATCAGTGAAGAAAGACCCTTGAGCCTGTGTCGCCTGTGTTCATGTTTTTGGCTACGACTAACAGTGCACCACACCTCACACTTTGTTGCTAACCCGTCGCAACAGGATTTTGGATCAGGAGTGTTGAATGACTTGCGTGGGTGATTTTATTTAAAGTGAGGAAAAGTTGCGCAGAGTCGACCTCACTCTCTCGTCCGGACCAAATTTTTTGAAAGTTACACTTTTGGTGAACATATCATGCAATCAAATCGAAAGGGCGTTAAATTGTTCATAAAGCCTAAAAATTAACTATAATGAAGGCAGCTTTTAGGTTTACGTTGATACAATATTCAACGCAAAGTCAGTTCCAATCTCCATCTGTGTAGTATAAACGTGTTAATTTCAAATTACATATTAAAAATATTTCAAGACCTGACTATCATCCGAGACCGAAAATAATATTTGAAAAAGACAAGTAAAACATTTTGATTATGTTTCATTAGCATTGGATACGCCGTGATAGAGTTTTTGCTAAACCAATCTTGAAGAATACAAACAAACGCTTATAATGTTATTCTTTGTGTATTACATTTTTAAATTTTCTGCTAAGTCCATTTTTTTAACACAGCGGCTACAAATTACTCGTATTTTTGCTCGGATGTGACGCAATAGAGATTTAATATGTTATCAACTCAGAAGTTAATTGTATATTTTTTTTCAATTATTAAAAATATTATTTTGTCAATCATAAGTTTATGGTTGTGTGAATTGTTCATAATGGTTGTCAGATTGTTCCCCGGGCAAATGGGGCGTGGACTGTATTAACCAATGTAGTCATTGCAAAAATAAGACATGTGACAGATTCCAAGGGACATGTAACCTGGGATGTGAGGATGGATACAAAGGTGAAACCTGTAATGATGGTAAGTGATTTACATATAAGACAAGGTCCGAATATCAACTACTTCTTTCAACTATTTTTTTGGGGGTAAAATTTTTATATATAGTTGATATTGTTTTCATTCTTTTTCTCTCTTTTCATCTTATCCAACTTTGTCTTTTATATCAATTTTTCTATGTAATACCCACACAAACTATACACACACATTAATTTTTTTGCTATCGACATTTTGATCTCAAGATATTTCTTTAATTAATTTATTACATTTTTTCCCTCAAGTTTTGTCTAATTAATCATAAATAGTTGTAATACGATCTTTCTGAAATATTTACAAATGTGGGTAACTGAAGATAACATCTTTATTCCAAAGAATGTTCAAGTTTTACATGGGGCAAAGATTGTTCAAATAAGTGTAGTCCACAATGTTTCAATAAGTCGTGCAACATCACAAACGGCGTCTGTCTGTCTGGATGTATAGATGGGTACACAGGAGACACGTGTGCAGACGGTAAGGTGTTTTAACACCTGTGTTTATTTGGTTTGGTCTTTTATCTTCAACAATTTTTGTCAATATTTGAAAATAAAAATCCAAAGTCATTTACAGCTGACATCTGACTTGGAAACTCTGATCGCATAAACATAAGAAAAAAAATGTATTGTCCAAAGTGCTAAAAAAAATTATTTAATGTGGTAAAAAAAAAAAATGGATAATTAACGTGTAGCTTTTTTAAAGTAAGAATTAAATATTAAAAATCAAATTCTACTAAGTTATTTGGAAGTCAACACGGCAGGATCGCCTGATTACAAATCTCGTATTTATCATCTTCTGACTTTGAAAATAATCTAGCGTATATCCCTAGATGCACAAAAACTATAGTATTTCCTCAAATTTTTAATTATTATTATTTATATATTTTTTATTATGGTAAAAATATTTTTTAATAATTCAGCAAATATTTTTTTTCATAAACTCATTTTTAAAAAAAAAAACGTATTGCTATTATGATAGGGGGTGTAAAAATTATAAGAAAAAATAATACTTTGAATTATTAATCTACTTTTTATATTAAAATATTATACAACAAGAATGTCCCAATTTGACCTGGGGCTCTAAATGCTTCAACAACTGCAGCCGTCACTGTGCTAATAAGACATGCGATAAAAGTGATGGGACCTGTGATAATGGATGTGAAGCTGGATATTCTGGGCATACGTGTGATCAAAGTGAGTAGTGAAGAAAAAAAGAAGTATCTAATAAAATATGTGTCCTTTTTAATTAAGCTATACCCTTTTCACCAGCTTCAAAAACATTTTCAAAAAGTTTTAATGCTTACACAACTTAATGCTGTTTGCAAATATCATTTAAAATATAATGTTACAAGATAAAGATGGGGTATATGATTTTTATTACCAAATCAACATTTTGCTTTTTTTTCCTGAAGATAAAATGTGTGAAATTATTTTCTAGAAATAGATTTCCTTTCGGGTTGAAATAATGTTATGGGGTAAAGGATATCTGTGGACAGAGTAGGGGAAATATTGGACATTTTAAGCTAAGGACGCGGTAGAGGAATATAGGACATCTAGGAAAGCGTGTGGATGTTGGACCTTGAGTGCAGAAGAGTGTTAGGGACAAAACATATATTAACAAATTACGGATAAACTACAATATTTATTACAAAACGCTGTCTAAAGCAGAAAAACAAACAAATATGTATACATTTGGTCATTCAAGTACCCACTTAAGTAAATATTTTTTAATCTATTAAAAAGTTAGCTATACGTCATTATTTATCGACCCATGGCTATAAGTATATGTACTGCTTCTATTGTTACATTAATTTGATGAATTAATTGTTTTGAAATAACACCAATGTTAACAAGCAATGGAAATTGCGTTCAAAATTATTCTTTTACAATATGATTATAATTATATTAACATCATGATCATTAATACTGTCCTTACAAGTACATAACTTGTTTTTTTTTTCATATTAAAAAATGCGATGGATCCTACATTAATTTTAATTTACTATAAGATGTATTTACACTTTGGTACATTAATATAGTGATTTATTTAAAATAAGTACATTTTGGTTCTACGGCTATCTCAGATGGTGTTGAATTGCACTTTTGTACCGTCTGCAACATTTTTGTCAACAAATGTTTCATACATTGAGGGATAAGATTCAGTGGCGTTGCTAGTTGGTTGCGGACCGCACCGGGTGGCAGCAATCCTAGCTACGACACTGATAAAATTTATTTTACCTGGAAGGTAAAATATATTTTTCTTTTGATTATTCTGAAAACACTTTAAAACTTGTATAATTAGCATGTCCAAAACTGACATGGGGTGTCCGGTGTCTGAAGCGCTGCAGTGACCACTGCGTCAACAAAACTTGTGATTTTGTGAATGGGATCTGCGACTATGGATGTGACGGTGTTTACAATAACACACAATGTCTAGATGGTAAGGAATGGACATTTTGGAATATCTGATATTTTTTTTTATATTCTTAGCTACTTGTAATAGTTTCTTTTTTATTATTTAAAACAAATAAAGTAAATAATTCACTTCTTTCTTTTTTCTATAAACTTTAAATAAGTTTTATCGTGTCGGGTATACAAAGCTAATGCATTTCTTAAAATATGATAAATGGTGTTCTAAACTAACCTTAGTTAAGCAATACATAAATTATCTTTAACATTTAACAAATAGTTTGTTTTTAAGAGAATATATTCGTGTTACTAACAAAAATTTCACGATTCATGTTTTCAAGTAACAGCAAATGTATTGTGATTATTAGCGGAGTATACTTGCTTGTCGTTTCTCTCTCCCCCCCCCCCTCTCTCCAGCAAAGGTATTGTTCTTTCACATCCTATCCATGTGTAAACTAAAAATTATGATTCTCCAGTAGCATTTTTATGGAACGCTTCATGTTCTCAGCGTGCTTGTGACCTTAAACTGATTTGTTGTACAATTAAGGGGCAGGGAACATGCGGCCTGGCGAAACATTTGATGTGGCCCGCAAAAACGTCCGTGAACTAGGAATAATTTCCGTAAAATTTACAAACTGTGAATTATTGCATATCAAAGCATTTCAAAGTAATAGTCACAGTGTAAAACTAAGTATGGTAGTGTAAAATTGTCAGACACTAGTATTGTGAGGCTGCATCGTCATTAGAGTAAACGTACATGTTTTAGTTTTAAGCATTAGGCATGCACACAATAAGCTTTTAATGGATATTTTATTGCATCCTTTATATTGGAAATAACGATTTTTGGACGTAAAATAATCGTCTGTGTGAAAGAATGTGCTTCACTTAGGCTAGAGTGCGTGAAGATCAGGGGATAGACCCTCATAATGCGGTCCTTGGCACAGCCCTTTAATATGTACATACTTGGAGACAGTCCTAAAACAGGTTTCTTTTTTTAAAAATGTTTTTAAATTAGAATTCCGTAATGACGAATCATCATCATCTACTGCTGCTATTGTGGCACCCATTGTTGTAGCCATCGTCCTCATCGTGGTGGCAATAGCTGGCGTTATTTTATGGAGGTAAATTAAACCCTATAATGTTCTATATCCTCTGACTTCGCCAAAGATATTTGTTTGCTCTTATTTTTATGGAATACGTTAATTTCTGTGACGTTTTACATTTTCTGACATTGTTATTTCTAAATATGAAACTATCAACAAAATGGACAAAATAGTAAACATTATTACTTTAATGGTATACCCTTCCAGACATAACTATAACATTACTTTGTCAATGTGATGAGCATTTATAGCGCAGTGCTTGATTTAGTTAAAAACCGATCATTTGACGCCAACGATGCCGCGTAAAGTTTAATAGCAAGTGTTCTTATAATGTGCATATATTGAAACTATTTTGGTGTGACTTCCCTTTATCCTAGACGAAGACGAGACGGTAAGAAGAAAGTCACCAGAGAACTGGTACCGAAAGAATTGAAGCCCATCAAGCAAAATAAATTAAACACTGCTGGTGACAACAATGCATCGAATCAGAAAGGCAAGTTACATAAACATGCTTTGAGATATTGGCAAAAGCACTTTTTTTTTGTAGATGGACAAAAAGCACATTTTTGTGGCGTCTCGTGCCAAGAGACAGTATTTTCTCTTTTCAAATGTAAAATTATTATGTTTCCTTATACAATTTATCTTGAATTGAGCTAAAGAAAAGTAAATGTCATATTCTCTTTTGTGTGAGCTAGGTGGTATAACGTTAACACAAACGTTACGCGTCACAGACCGCGACAGTAAACACAGTGTGTCAGCACCCGTGACATCAAACCTAGAAAACACTTACTCCAACACAGCTCTACCCATGGTCAAAGACACATCTATAGCTGTCAATGACTTGAATGAATTTATGCGTCTACATAAACTTGACTTCTTTACGGAACAGTTTAAGGTTTGTTAATTTTCCTTCTCTTATTATGATCATTTAAGTATACAGCATTGTTGAATAGTTATTAGTACCGCGTGTGAGCTGGTTACGGTACTTCTTTGAAACAAGAACTAAAAAAAAACATTTTAGGCTTTTCTAAGTGAAATGGAATGGACTTTTTCATTTTAATCCCAATAGGTATTAAATGGTGCCGTCTCTATAATACAAGACACCTTTTAGAGCAATCCCCAACACCCTTCATCTACAATCTGTCACAAATCTTTGAACCCCCTCCCCCACAACCCCCCCTCCCCAAAAAAAAAATGCAACAGATAAACTTAACTTTTAAACTAAATAAAAGTTAAAAAAAAAGTTAGAGCCTAAATATAAAGTTTCTAAATCCCACTTTACAGTTAAACTAATACATTTATAAAGTGACATCTTCTAATGTTTTGTGTTAATAAGAACAATAAGGTTAAAAGTGTCAATTTTAGATTGTACGTGTATGATACATTTTGTTAAAAAATGTTTGATGTTACATATAAATGCCATCCCTTCCCCATGTTTCCGTCACATTTTTGTCACAGTTTCTTAGAACACTACCCTACACCGGAGTTTGACGTACTTTATGGACGGCCACTTAAGTCTAAAGATAGATGAATCTTTCGTTATCGTCTGCGCCTAGTTTATTATTGAAACAAATACTTTTTATAAAATGCTGATATCTATGTGAAGACAGTGACATTTTATTTGTAAATTGAAGGAATGTATACACGAAGCCCACATCGCAATTTTGGAGCTCACAGCTAATGGTTCTTAACGATTTTTAATTGTCTTCTTGCATTTATCAACAATGACCAAGGTTATCCGAGTACCATTATACAAAGTTAAAAAAAATTTTCAATTTGTTAGCAAAAAAGGGGTTTGTGGACTAAAGTACTTTTTAATGCAAACTGCGAGATAAGTTCGTAAACCGCACAAACAGTTGTGTATTTTGTCACATAAATATGCTTCGTCTCTACAAATAGCTTGCTGAAGAAGCATCCAGGTAATAATGTTATTCTATTATAAATTAATTGTGCTTTAGAAAAACCGAATGTCAAAGTGTTAACAACATAACTATATATAGTTATCTTATATCTGCTAAAAAAATATTAAGTTTAAAAAGCCTCAACATATCTGTTTCAGAATATCCCAACGCCAGTGAACGTATCTATGGAAATAGGACTACACAATGAAAACAAACATAAAAACAGATACAAGAACATCTGTACATGTGAGTCGATTTGATCAATCTTTTATTTCTGTGACAACACTCTCAAAATAATCATAGATCTCAGTTACGTCTCCTGGTAATATCACCACTGATCGTTAGTCTATTAAAATAACTAATGTAACTTTTGTTTCATTTACTTGCTCTTTAACTTTAAAAAAAAATCGCCAGTTTCCGTCCCCACTCTTCCATAAATGTTTCTGATTGTATTCCATACAAACTAAATATTTGGAAAAATGTATATTTCTTAGACGACCATTCAAGAGTACACCTCATGATAAATACAGCTAAGCATGAAGGAGATTATATAAATGCGTCATACATTGAGGTAAATTAAGACTAGTTTAAATGATAATTATTTCATAGATTCATTAATGCTAATACTCTTTTTCCATTAAAAAAGAATAAAATGCGCCAAGACTTCTAAATAACAGCAACATTTAGTTCTTAAAATTATTCTTTATAAAAAGAAATTAGTTCTTAAAGTTGTATTTTTAGAAAACATTGCACTACGGGGCTGTGTTAAATTGCCTCTGCATAAAAATTTCATATAATGTTCATTTTTTATTTTTATTTATTTGGTCTTAATCTAACATTCAAAACTATTTTGATATAAGAAATATTTTTAAAAACTATTAATCACAGGGATTCATGGATAAAGAAAAATTCATAGCCAGCCAAGGTAAGATCAATGTTTCAAATCTCTTGTCATGTCATTAAAGGATACGTTATGGCATAGAATTAAAGAAAAATTGAATACACAGAAAACAGCCAGGTTTTTTTAGGTCAATGAAAAACAAATTTGGTGAAAAAAAACTTCCTAAATGTCTTCATATTTTTTTATTACATCTTTATTTTCTCCAGCCTCTCAATCCTAAAATGTGACAATTCTTTCGTTTTTAACTCCAAATTTCATATAAAATTGAACTCAAATTAAAAATTAAAAGGATTCGATGTAGGAGGCAATGAAACATTCATGGCTTAAATATGTGGAAAATCACATCGATAAAGAAAGTTTTATTAGAAATCATATCTTCATTTTAACAGTCACAGCTAGTGTCACCGTAATCACAGTCCTATCACTATTTTTTTTTTATTTAACGTAAATTAGGTTTAAAAAAATGATGAATTGAGGTCATGTTTTAACAGGTCCCAATAAGGTCATTATCAATGATTTTGTTCGTTTGTTGTGGGAGCAAAAAGTAGACAAAGTTGTGATGCTGACAAACTTAATTGAGGAAGGTCAGGTCAGTATATATATATATGTACTGGATAAATTACCAATCTATTGATTGGGATGTAATGGTTAAGGTGAAATTAATTGGAACAAAAAATGATTTAGCATTTTATATTATGACATTGTTTGAAAAAGAATGACAAATGTCTTTTGGGGCTATCCAAAAAGAACGTCCCTTTCCGAAATCGGCAGGGCGGAAAAGGCTTTAAGAAAGTTTGACAGTTTATGACCAGACGAGAGGAAACATAAAGATTATACGTGACATCACACATTTTTATTTGTTATCATACATTTACAATTTAAAATCGAAAATACTGTTAAAATGTCTAATGTGATGGATGTATTCTGACAGAAGATCTCAATTTTATACAATTAATACTTGAATAGTGACATGTGTTTTAGATTAAATTGTAACAAGTGGTCCAAGATTTGTGACAGATTGTAACAAGGGGAGGGGGTAAAATTTCAAAAAATTGCGTGGGATAATTTACGGAAGGCCCCTTGTGAAACTAGTCCAAAGGAGAAACTAGGCCAGGATTCATTTGTTCAGTCCGGCAGCCTGGATCTTCGCTGTGCAGCCTCAAACACCCCTTTAAAAAAAAAAAAAAATCTCTTACAAATTCAACATAAATCTATATTTCATGAAAGCAAATAGAATAGACACGTTATTATATTTCGGAAAAAATTGCCTATTCTATACAAAAATGATAGATGTCGTGATGAGAAAGGTGTATTTGTCGATTTGATAATAAAGTAAATGATGTTATTATTGGTTTAAAAATCTTGAAAAACGGTGAGCCCGAACTCTTGGCAATAGTATTTTTTTAATTTTCTCAACTCTCAATCTTACTTTTCACCATTCAGTGAATTTATCGTTTATAAATTTAATGAGTAGGATTATAAAGTGCATATCATACATATTTGCTATGGATCAGATAATGTGCATAACATACGACTTTGCTGAGGTTATCTAGTGGCCAGTGTTTTAGATTTCGGCCATAAAATTGTATATATAGAGTCTACAAATAAAAGTTTTTTAAGAAATTAACATCGAAGAATATAGAATTTCTGTAATCCTCTTATTCAATCACTTATGTAAAGGTTAAATGTGAGAGATACTGGCCAGAAGAAGGAAAGGCTGTGTTTGGTTCCATAAAGGTTAGACTGGCGTCCACACAAGTTTTTGCTGACTACACAATCAGGCAACTGGAGCTTAGAAAGGTGGCTACTGAATTATAAGATTATTACTTACATTTTCAATGCCGTAGATAAAATCTAATACTCATTAATAATATTCCTTTTTCCTGTTCCTTTTAAGTTTCAGAATAAATCTACATTCTCCTAAGAAAACACATGTGTGTTATTGAAGAATAACATGTTTTATTAAATACGTCTAGTACCATTTATTGTTTTATTTTTGCAACTCTGAGTTATTTAGAAAGATGAACCCATCCATCAAATGACCCACTTCCATTTCACCTCCTGGCCAGACAAAGGAGTTCCGCTAACGCCATGGAGTCTTGTAGATTTTGAACAAAGGGTCGCATCTGACCCTACGACAAGACCTGTAGTTGTACATTGCAGGTTAGATAACTGTATGATACATGTTAGCCTGTTAGACAACTGTATAAAAACTATGCTACTCATACCGGGCACAAACAAAGGCGAAGTTAATACAAAGGATATTTTAAAAAAACACATTATATATTTTTTTATATTCCAGCGCTGGTGTTGGTCGCACTGGGACATTTATTGCTCTGTGTAATGTTATGAAAGAAGCAGAAGACACAGGTCGAATCGACTTCTTTAAGACAGTTGTCAAATTGAGACAAGACAGAGTCATGATGATCCAAACCCCGGTAAATTGACTCAGCTTAATTTAACGTTTAGTGAACTCATCATAGAAAAAGCAAGTAATGAATTGTAAATAAAATCGTTCATTATAGGGAGAGAAACAATTAAGGTTATTTTAACAAGGCATGAAACAAAACGTATATTTTATGAATCGTATTTAATTGTTTGCCAAATATTGATAATATGCACAGAAAAAATAGTCTAGGTTGATAACATCAACTAAGGCATTTATAATAAACATATTAAGTCGTTGTACCTTTGAATCATTTTATGATTCTTTTTAAATATTTAGTTGTCATAAAAAAAATCAAAGAAAAAAATTATTTTAAAACTTTTCATTTAACTGTTCAAAGTTTAGCATCCTCATGAAAGTAATTAGGCTTAAACATGGGTATTCTACATGTATGCTTCACTATACTGTAGGCTCAGTACGAATTCTTGCACAGAGCAGCACAGGTGGCCATAGTTTGTATCGGAACAACGGTCACATCAAGAGATATTACAGACAGGATTCGAATTCTGGGAGAGGAAGTTTTCAAAGGACGCACGAAAATGGAGACAGAGTTTCAGGTAACATCTGACATCATAAAATAATTTAGGCTTGAATATAATTTCTGTGTTAAATTGTATGGAGTTTCTTCTCAGAAGTTAAAAGCACACCTTAAATTCTAAAACTTCTGTAATCTAAAAAAAAAAAATATTAAGAAATCAAATTTTATTTGTAATATTAAAAACAAATAGGCCGTGTGCTCGGTGAGTGGGGATTTCACCAAACACATTAAAGATGTTGAGAACACAGAACAAGAAGCAAGTGTTTATGAAAACAATGTGAACAACACTGCCATAGTAAAGAACAGATTTCTTGATATTTTACCAGGTATTTTTATTCAATAGGCATAACTCAATTCTTTTAAAACGTAAGTTTTTATTCCAATAAAAATTTATAATAGCGGTGCTCTTTTTCAGCCTTGAAATGGGTAGGCCCTGAGATTTAACAATGTATCTATTATCACATTATATTCCCTTGTGCCCAAATATAACTCTAATAAGCTAATGGCATTTATTTATATTGATAATTATTTTTAATTAATTCAAAGATAGTTTGACATAATTTGTCTTCTTCTTTTTCTTCTATATCTTAAGGGCCCACGATCAATTTATTGATCATTTTGGCTCCTATGCATGTAGATGGGATTTGCAATGTTTCTGTTACTGGTGGTGATGAGGAAATTATGCACCAGGGGTTTGAAGGCTTGAGGCAATAGACACAAATGTGTCTAGTGTTGTCGCCTCAACTGTTCCTTTTGAAAGATGGTTCCAGTCCCTGATTGTCTTGGGCAGGAATGAGCAGCTCCTATACTGGCTTCTTGCTGGTATGAGCCTGAATTGCCTGTCTTTTTGGCTATTAGTTTTATGGTATTGAGCTCCAATGAGATCGAACCTCTCTCTCTCACAAAACATCGCCCCCTCCCACATAAAAAAAGAAGATTCATGTACCTTTAACAGGTATGTTTATACATGTTTATTGTGAAAATTGTTATGGAGAATTTACATTTTATAATAAGATATACATTGAATTAACCTTGTTTGTCCTTTAAAAGAAAAGGCTTACAGTGCTCTACTGATTCCCGACGATAGCCATTCAGGAGATTACATCAATGCCGTCGTAGTTCCGGTAATGTGGTTTAATATACGTTTCATGGAAACAAAATATCATTTATATTTTATATTTTCTTCTTTCATTAGACATTGCAACGACCTTACTTTACTAAGTCGCGGCCCCAATACAATGTTGCGGCCTTCTTACGTTGTCTACAGTTACGGCCTTCTCAATACTTGACATGTTAGGATCTTCGTCCTTACACTTCAACACATATAGTTACGTTTACTGCACAGTCAGCAGACTCCACGTTGCCTAAGGGTTTACTACACTGTCTTAGTATCTATATATATGTATATCACAACTCCAGCATGGAAATACAACAGTTATTTATTTACAGCATCCAATAGCAATTCACAGTGACAACGTTCTCTGGCGATAATACTAACTCTCAACTTGTCTCTCTCTGGGCGTCGTCTCAAACAACAAGCTATCAACTCCCGGCTCAGCTCTGGACTAAAGTGTCTCTCTATCCTAGCACAAATAACAACCAACCAAAACACAGCCCTTTTATATCCCTACAAAACACTCAGCATACACTAACGTTCTACACCACGAGCCAACTTCACGCTCTGATCTCACGATCAACAACTGCCCCTATCCAACATTCACAACAATCTAGTTCACAACAGACACACACGGTAAAAATCTTTACTAATCTATATTTAAACGTATGAACTAATTTTATCCTTTTTGTCATGTGGGTTTGTTAATTTCTTGTGTACTTTCAATTTAAGACAATACAAAATTAAAAAAAAAAAAAATGTTATTTCTGAAAAACTAATGGATTATTTCACTAAATCTTTGATAATTCTTAGAGTTTGAAAAAGAAAGACCAACAAGTTCTGACCCAACTTCCCCTTGCCACCACAGTTGTTGACTTCTGGAGACTTGTTATGGACTATAAAGTGTCACTTATTGTAGAGTTTGAATTTAACCTGCAGTCTACTGACCCGGTAAATATTAATTAAAAAGTTATACAACAATATGTAGAACTGCCAACGTCAAAAAAAATGTATAAAAGTTGATAATGTTCAAGAAATGGATCTGTGAGAATTTGTAAATATGTTTCGTTAGTCATTATTTTCATAAACTGTCTAGACTTAAATGTGTGTTGCGTTTCCTAAGTCTATTGCAGATTATCTCCCCTCTAAGTCAGGCGAGTCATTAACATTCGGAACCAATGAATTACGTATAATTTCTTCAAAGAAGTCCACTTTATGGGAGGAGCTACAACTGTCAATCAGGACAACAAAGAAATCTACTCATGTTACATCAGTAAGTTTAACTAATATTACAGTTTTTTTATTGCTATACTTACCGAGTTACTTATTTACTTTTACCTTTCACCAGCCAGGGGAATAAGTCGTCTATAAGAATGTTCAATTCATCCTGGACATGTGCTTACCCTTCCAGGTATTTAAAGGTGCATCCCATATCTGCCCATAGCTCGCGTCTGCATGTCTTCTTTTGGCTTCTTCTCTTCATTTTACCCCTGGTTTCCCTGTTTGGGATTGTCAGGTAGTGTTATCTGGGGGTTGAAGAAGAGTTGCCAAATCCAACTTCTGCTTTTCCTTATGATAACTTCAGTAAACTCTTCTTTTAAGTCCTTTCCAGTAAGTCTTTGCCGGTAATGATCATATTTTTTTCATTTAATGTTCAGGGTCTATCTATGTAAAGTGTTTTTGAATGAATGAACGTTCTACCTGATTCTCGTTGTTCTTCTCCAAAGTTCGGCTAAATAAAGTAGAACTGTTTTGACAATTGTGTTTACAAGTCTAGCTTTGAGTTGCAGAGTTAGCTCCGTAGAATCCCATATTTTATGTAAATACACATTGGCTGACCTAGCCCTGAAATCAGCTTCAAATCAACCATGTATGTCATTGGAATTGCCAAAGTATGTGGAGGCGTCCATTTTTTGGTGCATTAACTGCCATAGAGATATGCTTTTGGTTGGCTAAGTTTACCTTAATGACATTGCTTTCTTTTAATTAAACTAAATTCGAGCTTTGCTTAATGTTAACTCTATCTCTTGTCTTTTCCTGTATTCGTTGCTGGTTTTGGGACTGAAGTGCGATGTCATCTGCAAAGTCTAGTACATTCAGTTGTTCTACAATGTTGTTCAATGTACACAAATTCCTCTTTTTGTGTGTGGATTCTTGTATTATCCAGTCAATGACAAGGATGACAATGAAGGAGTCAAGAGACATCCTTGTCGGGCTCCTGTTTCCCCTTTAAAAGGAATCTGTGTGTCTCCAACTTGCAAGCTACGTCTTCATACGATCTCTAAATGACCCTGACAATTATTTCCTATAATGCCGGAGTTGAAATAAGATTTGTCGGTAGAGGTTATGAAAGAACTTTTTGATTAGATGAATAAAAGATAACGAAGTGGGTTGCATTCAATGGTCTGTTCTACAATGATGCATAGTGTTGCAATATGGTATGTGCTTATCTGTTGTGGGGAGAATCAATCCTGTTAATCTAGTACCGTAGAAGCCTTTCATTATATTCAGAATGATTCTGCGAAATAACTTTCCTGAAACTGACAGAAGTTAAATGCCTCTGTATTTTTCAATTTTCCCGAAATCCATTTTGTTGGTATATTGATGAGGTCCTCTTTCCAATCTTTCGAAACTCTCTCCTTTCAATATCTTTATAATAGGGTTTGTAGCACTTTGATTATAATATCCGGTCTAGATGCTTTCCAAATATTAAACTTCCAGGTCAATTACAACGTGTTAGTGATATTTAATTTTTGAGTTTGTGCTTGGCCGATCCTAATAAAACTTTGCATGGGGATGTTACGGACATCTTTATGTTTTGCCATTTATGTTTGTTCTGTTCCTCATCTGTTTGGACTGGCAGTGCCTGGAACATATTTCTTAAGGCAACAATAGATTGCGGTCGTTTGTCAGAAGTTGCATTTTAGTTGCCTTTCAGATGGCTTTGAACAGTTTTTTTACACGTTTAGCTTGAGTTTTGCCCAAACATTATGATGATAAAATGTAATTTAAACTCTTCTTTTAGTGTGCACGTCAAGTTTTTCGCCAATGCATATGTGGTCGATTTTGTTTTCCGCTTTATTAACAAGGACACAGACCAACGTTACTTCGTGGACATTCTTATGCAGGTATACGTTCCCTAATAAAGAGCTCATTCGATGTACAGAAGTCTGGCAGACTCTTGCCGTTTTCATTTCTAACTCCTAAATCATGGCACAACGCAATTTCTTCCAATGAGCTTTTTTCTTTCCCAATCACAGCATTTAGATATCCCATCATGATATTTTGGTCTCTACGTGAAAATTGTTCCAGTATAGCTGGTAGTCTATTGTAGACATGTTATTTCTTCATCCTCCTTACTATCAATGTTAGATTCATAGTACTTTATTAGATTCATATCTATTTACTTCATCTTGGTTCGGAAAGGTGCTGTAATAATACTTGGACCATGGGCTACACATCCTATCAATTGTTCCATCCGTGCAATCATGAAAGCGACTTCTTATGTGTGTGGAGTATCTTTCTCCAGGTGCCCTGTGTATCTTAGTGTTTTGCCAAGGCAAAAGTTTATTCTCCATCATTTGTCCATTTTTTTTCACATGCTGAGCTGCGTGATCTTATAAGGTGTCATTTCTGCTGCAACCTGTGCTGATTTCCCCGTTTCCCCACAAGATCCTGACATTCCTCGAGCATATACTTTCTGTATTCAAAATGAGGGTCATCAGCTTTGAGGCGTCTAGTATCACTGCGTTTTGCTGCAATGTTTCATAACTTGTCTTGTGCAAGCTTAGTATCCTCCTATCAACGCTAAAATATTTTTATTTTTCTATATGCTTTTTCTTGTATGAATTAACATATTTAAATAAACTGAAACAACAAACTCAGTAGTTCTACTCTTTTAGACTACTATTGAAAGCGTTATAAACTTCAACATTTGAACACCGATGAATCTTCAGAATACTTTTGTTTTCATAACAATCTATCTTTTAGTAAGAAATTTGTTGAAAAAAAAAAGACTTAAATAATTTCAAGCAACACTTTGACAACAATATCTAATTAGGTTATATCTTAAAACGTAACGAACTTTTCATCTTTAATAAAAGTGAGGATAGTTTCTTTAATTAAAAAAAAAATAATTAAAAAAATCAAAACAAAAAAAAAACAATTCGAGACAATTTCTGCCGTTATCAACAGGTTGACCAGTTAAAAGTTTCTCTCTTGAAATGTTTCTCAACTGAGCTGGATGTCAAGAATCTTCTACTTTTACTTAAACACATCAGGTCGTGTAAGTCACCAGGAGAGGAAAGAGTTCTTTACATGTGCAGGTAGATCTTTATAAACGCTTTTTTTTTTAAGTTTGATAATGAAGGATTAGTATTCTCCTTTTTTAAAAATATTAAATAAAAGAATATTTTTTCACAAAATAATTTAAGATCGGACCATATTTTAAAAACCTAGCAAAATGTTACAATATGTTTTACAATTTGCGCTACAGCTTGTTTGTCAATAATAAAATAAGGCCGTAGCTAGATGTTAATATAATTCATTAAACTATATTTATAATTGTTTACTTTGATGTAGAGATGGCGCCAAGTACAGTGGATTGGCTTGTGTACTGACTTTGTTGTTGGACAGAATGGACAATGACCTTCGCTTGACCGTACCACTTGTTGTGGGAGCCATTAAGTCTATTAGACCACAGGTCATCCCCACACTGGTAATAAAGATTACATTGATTATATTTTTTACACCTCTCAAAATAAAAAAACCCCACAATAATCCATTGCCCATTAAATTAAATTAACATAACTGTATTACTTTATAATAATTCATAAAATATCTTATATTGTGTGGTTGATTAATTTCAAAAGTAGTATATCATTTTCACTGTATTAGGTCTAAAACACTTAGGTACTATGTTTTTGCAAAAAGTCAATGGGTGATATTTATTTAACTCTCTATTTTGTCCTTTGTCAACCAGGATCAGTACAGAATACTCTACCAAGTGTTACATCGTTACACTGAGTCTACGTCATCCTACACTAACTTTGGAGACTATCAGCAGATGAACTTGTCTGTGGCCAACAACTTGGACAAGTCAAAGAGTTTGGACAGTGACAATATTTACTCAAATACTTGAATGCTGTAATACAAAAGAATTAAATCTTCATATTCCACAAAAAAAAATTGAAAAATAAACTCTTATTCTTAATTTTACTTAAAGTAAATGCTGTGTAGTATGAAAATAGAAATCATGTAAAATAAACCAATTTCAATATTGATGAAGAAACTTGTGCAGAAATTTGTTTCGTGCATCATTGATCTGTAACACCGTAGCAATATTTTGCCAACTGCTTACGGTTTTAACAGCCATTCATCTTTCGTAAAAAAATAGGATTCAAATATCGGCCATATAATTGTTTTAAAAAAAATACAATATTTAGAAATATGTTTTTTTAAAACGTTCATTGTAAGTATTCCCTTTGTTGATGTGTCATTCATACCAAAGAGATTCCAAATATTTTACACAAACATATTTTATATGTTTTAATGATGAAAATTAATCATCAGGCTATCTAAATGTTATGTTAATATTATTTATTCAAGAATGTATGATCCGGTGTTACCGGAGCATTAACGGAAGTCATAGTGCGGTACTTTCCACTTGCTATTGTGACGTCTCAGCATCTAAACATTACAATTTCTGATGTATGTAACTGAAAGGGATTATATATATTTTATCGTTAAAAAATACGACTATAATCAATACCCTTCACATACATATTGAGGAAATGGGTAAGTGAACTTTATTTTTGTATATATATATACATCTTACATCATCGGATGGTGATAGTATTTTCTTCAACATGAAGTAGTCCTACCAAATATTTTTTAGGATCATTGACTACAAAGAAAATATATCTTCTAAAAATTGATAACCATATTATTTAATCTATATCAGTTTTGTGTTTTTTTCCGAACTATTCTAAATGTAATAGTACATTTTCTGATCTATTTTGCCGTAAATGGAAGAATTTTTGGGGAATCTAGAAGAATTAATTATCTATTGTAAATTAAAAATTTTTAATGTATTTTTTTAAACAGTTATCAAAATTGGCTTTCTTTAATATTATGAATGTATTTTCAAGAATTGTTGTGTATACCTTTTTTTATTTTAATGTCTTGCCATCATTGTAAATATGTGTACAGGTCTTAAAATGTATATGCGGAGCAATTGTACATTTTCAATGTCGTTAGTTTCAAAGAATATCTAATTCAATATTTTATATTTTAAAACTTTTGCGAGTTCTTAAATTTTTTAAATATGTCCATAAAGTTTCCTCACTTTGTCCTCAATGTGTGCTCAATTTATCATCAATTCTTGCTCAACTTTTCCTCAAGTTGTCCTTAATTTGTTCTCAATTTGTCCAGTATGCGGGCTCAATGTGTCCTCAATCTGTGCTCAATGTGTGCTTAATATGTCCTTAATTTGACCTCAATGTGTGCTCAGTGTGTCATTTGGTGTCCTCAATGTGTGCTCAATATGTCCTGAATGTGTGCTCAATGTGTCCTTTTGGTGTCCTCAATGTGTGCTCAATATGTCCTCAATGATTGTTTTATTTGTCCTCATTGTGTGCTAAATATGTCCTCACTGTGTCCTCAATCTTGCCCGTGAACTAAATATTCCGACATTAATGTAACACGTGAATATTTATGTTTAATGATGATATACACAAGCTATCCTTAAATGTCTGTATTATTATTGGATTTAAAGAGCTTGTTATTCACATACAAATGTTCTAATCCTATTTCCTGACACTAAAATGGGTTTTATCTAGAAAGTTAAATTCATTATATCATTATTCTCAAAACTTTCTATAAACCGGTTTCAGGTATTAATGTTGTCGCGTATCTAGTGCTACCGTCTCCAAATCCACTTACTAATGTTGTCGCGTATCTAGTGATGCCGTCTCCAAATGCACTTACTAATGTTGTCGCGTATCTAGTGCTACCGTCTCCAAATGCACTTACTAATGTTGTCGCGTATCTAGTGCTGCCGTCTCCAAATGCACTTACTAATGTTGTCGCGTATCTAGTGCTACCGTCTCCAAATGCACTTACTAATGTTGTCGCGTATCTAGTGCTGCCGTCTCCAAATGCACTTACTAATGTTGTCGCGTATCTAGTGCTACCGTCACCAAATGCACTTAATAATGTTGTCGCGTATCTAGTGCTACCGTCTCTAAATGCACTTACTAATGTTGTCGCGTATCTAGTGATACCGTCACCAAATGCACTTACTAATGTTGTCGCGTATCTAGTGCTACCGTCTCCAAATGCACCTACTAATGTTGTCGCGTATCTAGTGCTACCGTCTCCAAATGCACTTACTAATGTTGTCGCGTATCTAGTGCTACCGTCTCCAAATGCACTTACTAATGTTGTCGCGTATCTAGTGCTGCCGTCTCCAAATGCACTTACTAATGTTGTCGCGTATCTAGTGCTACCGTCACCAAATGCACTTAATAATGTTGTCGCGTATCTAGTGCTACCGTCTCCAAATGCACTTACTAATGTTGTCGCGTATCTAGTGCTACCGTCACAAAATGCACTTACTAATGTTGTCGCGTATCTAGTGCTACCGTCTCCATATGCACTTGCTAATGTTGTCGCGTGTCTAGTGCTACCGTCTCCAAATGCACCTACTAATGTTGTCGCGTATCTAGTGCTGCCGTCTCCAAATGCACTTACTAATGTTGTCGCGTATCTAGTGCTACCGTCACCACATGCACTTATTAATATTGTCGCGTATCTAATGCTAAGGTCTCCAAATGCACTTACTAATGTTGTCGCTTATCTAGGGCTACCGTCTCCAAATGCACTTACTAATGTTGTCGCGTATCTAGTGCTACCGTCTCCAAATGCACTTACTAATGTTGTCGCGTATCTATTGCTACATTGGGCATTGTAAACGAAGTGCAGCCCAAGCTTCTCATACATTAATATTTAGTAAGCTTTTAACAAACATTCATAAAATTCCACCCTTGATTTTTAACTCCTTCGTTGGCTCCTTCGCTTCCCTTGTCGCAGCCCTGAACTGTATTAATATTCTATTGTCTCTCTTTACCAATAATGTACTTGATGTTCCTATGTAAAAAACAATTGTTCCTCACTATATCAAAGTATATTTAAGATAATGTTTATTTTATTGATATTAAAATCAATACCGAAACTCAGTTTGTAATATAATCTGCTGTGGAAACAATTATTTAAGTTTCAATTCTTAAAAAGTGATTTCCAATTTATCTAATTTTTAACATTGTCTTTCAAATTATTTTTCCTTATGAAAGAAAAAAAAAGTCATATATTTTGGAGTAAATGTTCATGATACCAAGATTTCATAAGAAGTGATGTCTTTAAAAAAGTGTAAGCAATTAAAAAAAAATGGATTGTATTTATTTATTAATTTTTTTTTAAATGGTTAAAAACAATTTCAGTTTTGTTTGTTTGGGCTATTTGCGTGTTTAAATTAAATTATTGTAAGAGTTTTCGAATTACGTTTGTTTTTTTTATAATACTCTTATTTTGGTGCACATAATTAAAGCGAAAATATTATTTGGTATAATGTATGCACTTAACAAAAATTTATATTTAATCATAAGAACATTAATAATAACATTAAAAAAAAGGAATCTTGGTTTAAAGGGAATTACATCAAAACTACCCATTACAGTTCTTTGTCATATTACATGTTTTTTTAATGTACAATGAAATACTCAAACATATACTTTAATATAATAATGTATTTTTAATTATTATCACACTTAAATTGATTCAATTTCCTTAAAATATTTAATAAATTCCTATCATTATTTTACGCCTTCAAGAGCCTTTAAATTGATAGGATTTTTTTATCGTTCCATGGTTACCTCAGCTCCTTCTTATATAATATGTTTTATAATATATCTTTACATATACTATATAAATACATATCACGGATGAAAAAAGGAGAAAAGTTGATGATGCTTTGCAGTTAAAATTTTAATTTGCAATAATATTAAATGCACAATAGTTTTAGTTATATCTTTATCTGTTATAATATATTGAAGACAGTGTCTTGAAAAATAAATATTGAATTGTGATAAACATTTCAACAAACTAAACACACATACATAATTTTATTTTTTACCTTTTTTTAATTGCTTGTTTGCAAGTGATTATGTATGTTGAAAAAAGCACAGTATTTTCTAAAACATACGCTTAAGTTTATGGAATTAGGTTAATCTAAATGAAACAGTAAAAAAAAATTCATAATTTATTATAAGCTTTTTGTTTGCATATTCCTTCTGCTGAAATAATTGTAAGAGGGACAAGGAAATATATATAAGAATGAGCTAGAGTCACATAACGCCAAAAGGAGATACTATTTAAGTACATTCGGATTCCTAAAAACAATCATAAATAGTTTCTATTATTTAAAAAAAAATCGAATACATTTAAATGCGCAAAAAATATTTTAAATCCGCTTTTATTTTTGTAAAAGTTAAAGTTATATTATTATAAATTACAAATTCATTTAAAGTATCAACTAAGGAACTATTTTAAGCATTTTATATGTGTTTAAAAGTTATGAAAAAAAAATTAAAATCCTGATCAAAGAATTACACCGTAATCACATTTATCGGGAAAACCCAAGCATCAGTCGTTTTTAGTGCGACTTTCATTGGGTATATAACGAAATAAAAAAAAATCAATGTGTTTTAAATAATCACGCAAATGACTTCATAGCACGAATAGCATATTTTGCAAAAAATCTTACGTTTCTTTTAATTTAATTACCGTGCGTTAGAAAACTGATTAATGTATTTTTCCTTCTTAAAAGTAAAATTAATAAATGCAATTGATTGCTTTTTAAATTGTTAATAAACCGCGCACGCACTTATGCTTTGTATATTTTAATATTTAAAAAGGTTTGCCTGTTTTGATTCCAAAAATATACTTTTATTTAATTTACAATTTAATAAAACTAACCTTTAAATATAATTCTAAAAAGAAAATGCGGTT